ACATCTGCTGCCCTAATTTCTGTGAGTTGACATAAGCTTGATGGCAGACACCTAGACCTGTAAACATATAGATGTTTACATTTATCACAATTTTACTGGTAGGTCATTTTTTAACAAAGGTTAACTCACTTGCCTAAACAAGTAAAAAAAAAAAGCTCACAATGTAGGTAAATTGCGATTTAACTCTGGTACATTTATTTTAAAAAATTAAAGCCTTCATGGCACCTAAAAATACTGCAATGAGAACAGTAATCATTCTATCCTGTGTGAAGAGTTGAAGCATACAGCACCCCCCCCCCAGTACCCACATTAAAAGCCCTGCCCCCACTACCTCGAGATGTCTTTGGAGATAGAGCCATCAAAGAACTAATTCAGTGAGGTCACTAGGGTAGGCCCTAACCCCACGTGACTGCTGTTCCCAGCAGATGGAACTGGGACACGGCCGTGCATGTGAAAGAGCGTCTGAAGACAGAGAGAACACAAGCCTCTACAAGCCAAGGAGAGAGGCCCTCAGAAAAACCAACCCTGCCAACACCTCGCTCTCGGACTCCCAGCCTCCAGAACTGGGAGGAAATGAATTCCTATTGTTCAAGCCACCGGGCTACAGTACATTATTATGGCAGCCCTAGCGGACTAATCCACCCCCCTTTTCAAAAACACCTTTGTCACTGGAGTTCATAGTATCTAACTCCAGTTTCAGTTTTATGGGAAACTGCCTAGAGGTCTTTGGCAAAGCTGCTTTCCACACAGATCACATAAATAAGGCGCCGCTTCAGAATTATGGAATATTTGTAAAACACCAGAAATTATCATGTACTCACTTCATAAAGACTTACTTAAATACTAACTACATCATTGCATTTCATTGAGAAATTTCCTATTTTCTTTCCATATGTAAAAAAGTGTCACTTAAAGTTTAACACAGCTGTCTCTATATATTTTTTAAATCACTGCCAAGATGAAATATTCTGAACACAATGCTTTAGATTTTGAAAATATTTTGGTGGGCACCAGATTCTATATGTAGTAAAGGGAAACAGTCTTTTAGAACTCAAAGATAATAAAGTTATTATCTTTTTCTAACATCTACATGACTAACTCATAAACTTTGGCTCTTGATTTAAATTTTATCACAGGTATGGCAACACCTAAGGCTGTAACTACATTTGAGAGAAACTTTTTACGATAACCTGTGAATACTGAGGTACAGACAGAAATATGACTGAAATGGGGACTAAGAAGATTTCAGGTTATTTTTCATAGCGAGAGGTGTGCAACCTTTTGGCATCTCTGGGCCACACTGGAAGAAGAGTTGTCTTGGGCCACACAGTAAATACACAAACACTAATGGAAACCAATGAGCAAAAAAAGGTTGCAAGTAAATTTACAATTTTCGGTTGGGCCCCATTCATAGCCATCCTGGGCCGCATTTAGCCTGTGGGCTGCGGGCTGGACACCCTTCTAAGGGTTTCTTCTGTTGATTAATAAAATATACAATCATCATAAACTAATAGATGCATTGCCTAAATAGTGCTAGAATTCTAAAACTAGAAGAAAAAGAACTCATAGGAATAAAGTGTTTATTTGTTTGTTTTACCTTTAAGAAGAGTAATGGAGTTGAACATTTCATGGGGCCAATTACACAGCAATCGCCCTACAGGGACTATATTGTTTAAATAAATTCACATTTTCTGTACTCTTGGCTAGTGTCCCTCAGAGGTGTGCAGATTAAGTTCTTAAACCAACCACCTCTTCCTCTATAAATAAAACCAAACAGCACTTTGAATTTAAAGTTCAAATATCCAATAATTTTGTTCATGAAACAACTTCCAAAACTGGGGAGTAAAGTTCTTTAAAATGCTACTTCAAAAAACATTTACAGATCCCATGGGGCTATCATTAGAGACACTATCCTTAAGACAAAGTGTCTTCCGGGAAGAGAGGCACTAAAGGGCATTTATGATCCTTGCAGATACTCAGAAGCCACACGCACTGCCCACCGCGATCCCAAAGGTTCGGGAGTGTTTTCCAAATGGTGATATTCAAGGAAAGGAGGGAAAGAGAACTACCACCACCCTGGCTCCTACTCGTGAACACCCTGCTAGGCATTGCAACAGGATTTATTCTATTTCTACTCCCACTACTTCTTTAACAAGCATAATTCCAAACAACTTTCTAGGAGTCAACAGTTCCTGGTGTGAAGGTAAAGAACATGGACGCCAGAGTCCTGTTCCCCACTCCCATCCTTGGCTCTGCTACTTAGTAGCTCTGTGACCTTGGACAAGTCTCCGACCTTCTCTGGGCCTCAGTGTTCCCTCTCAGATGGAAACAACAGAACCACCTCAATGCATTACTGCATTAAATGAGTCTCTCCATGTAAAACCCCAGGACGGTGCTTGAAACTTGGTGCCATATAACTGTGGGTGTCAGCGGAGGTGAGAGGCAATTCAAACACCAACAACCAGAGCGCAGGGAGCTCAGCGAAGCATCTGGTGAGGACGGGTGGAACAAACCGATGAAAATTCCAGTCGAGGTGACAGCTAAACACATTTGAGAATTTTATTTACAGACAATTTTTTCCATCTGGCTTACACTGTTCCAGAAAGTCATGTTCCTGCTGATCTGAGCTGGTCCCGTGTGACCTGTGCCAACCCCTAAGGAGCTGCCCAGGGGCGGCCGACCTCAGGGCTGGCCCACAGGTGGGATCTTCAGTGCGGCATTAATGAAACCGCGGCTAAACGCACATTGGACAAAACACCAGCCAAGAACATTACAGACAAAGGGGGGTAAATGATAATGGGGAAAAATACAATAAAAAATAAAGGAAAAAGTATTAGAGACAGGTTTTATTAGGTAGAATATTGTGACCTATGGGTCCTCAGCCGGGGTCCCAGGTGGCCACTCACCTGAACATTCAGCAGCCAAGAGTGAAAGCAGGGGACGATGGCACTGCACTGTCCTTGCTTCCAGCACATGGACTGTCCCCGCCCCCGCACACGCCCCTCCTGCTTCTCCCAGCCCCGCGCCCACCCCACCCCAGCACTCGGGGAAGGCACTGGCCCGGCCTGGCGAAGACCAACATCAGGGGATTACTTTGTGCTCCTTTCAACTGTAGGAGCTGTGGAGGCGCTGGCAGGGTTGGAACAATTTTATCTGGCCCTGACAAGCCCCTTAATAATATATATCCAATTTTTATTCCACTTCCCTATCACCTCCTAATCTCTTTCTTTTCTCTCCTCCAGGAAGTCCTTATCATGCTTAAGTAAACAAACAGAAACAGGGTTTTTCAAGTAGTTGCAAAACTCCAGCCGGAACAGCACACACTGCATTTCTGATCTAATCCCTTCTTACACACACCAGGGTGTTCCTACGAGACTCAGGCTGCAGCTGATGTTCCTCTCCTCCATCAATGCTCTGTGCGGCCCCGGCCCCGGCCCGCACTGGACACACACTATTGGAAGCCAGAGTACTTTCTGTCAGCATTTTGCTGGGCTAGGTCTAATTCCTTACATGTGGAGAGACTGCTTTTGTATATAATCACTGTTTATTTCCTCAGTACATTCTCTATCTCCTGCAAGTGTGCTGCCAAATGTTTAAAGCTTTCTAGTTGGAAGCACGAGGCAGCAGTAAGAGATGGGAGATATAAAAAAAGCATGCGAGGAGTACTTCTTTAAACAAAAGCTGAATGTGCTTTAACTCAAACTGAGTTTTTGAATTACACCACAGCCAGTTTGCAAAGCCACACTGACAAAAGCATCTGCGGTGCTGGAAACAGCCCGTTAAGGAACCAAGACAGCAAAGCAACACGCACCTAGAGAAGGCAATCCTGCAGCGCGGCCTCCCCTGGACCAAAGTTGCAAAATAGTGCATGAAAGTGGTTACATTTTATAACTTCTTCCTGACTCTTCATTTTATTTCATCCCAATGAACTATTTCATTGTATCTGTTTGTATGTAAAGAATATATGAAATGATACTGTAAAGTACTATTTCATTCTCTCCTGTATGCTGACAAGAAAGGACATTATAGCAGTGACCATAACGAATTATCCATGACTACAAATCAACATCTTTTAGATTAGTAATAATAATTTGTAAAAGCTAAATATCTTTAAAACTTTCCACTGTTGAAAAATTCTCCCACTGACAAGCTAAGACTACGCATTGAGCACGGAAGCAAATCTGTGCACAGTCCTGAAGGTCTCTATGCTGCTGATTGTTTTATGTTTCTGAAACTGTGCAGTTGGTGATTTATTTCGCATCACGTGGCCAGCCATTTGTTTATTCTATTGCATGCCATCTGTTTTTTGGTAGAGAGGTTTCGAGTTCTTCTCATGCCCTACCTCATACCCCACAGAAAACAATTTATAATAGACTTAAATTTAAATCATTTGGATGCATGGGGAGTTGGTAACTGGAGCTGCCTTTCATTGATATTTGGCAAATGCTTTAATGGGATTAGCAAATTGTGTTATTACGAGGTACTTATGGAGACACAACACTTTCTTTTACAATGACAAATAATGTTAACAGTTTCATTGTGGGTGTTTAATAGCAGCACAGGTTTTACAAACGTTCCAGGAAATTGCCCTGATAGACAGTAAAGTCCGACCACAAAGCCTGTCCCTATCTTTTATGTCTGAGAGCCAACAAATACTTGTATCTGGACGTGGCAGGGTCTACTGTGAGGAATAAATACCAAGTTGCTCCACTTTTAGGAGAAGGTTCTCATTTAACCCACAGGCCTGGAAACCCTGTCCGACCCTGACTTGCTGGCGGCTTGTGGGCCCTCCGGCCATGGCTGGGCCTGTCCAGCTACTCAGAGTGATGGCCGTCCCCAGGTTTTCCCCAAAGAAAAGCTTATGCCACAAACGTCGGCCCACCAGCACTGATGCATTCCCGTTCTACGGCCCACACTGATTCACTCTAAAGGAGAGCCAACCATTCAGAGACACCGCTGCTTGCTGAAACTGCACAGATGATGCTTAAAGTGTTAATTACCATTTTTACAAGGATCCTCGCTGCTTTGGTGGAGAGGGGGTGTCCGGTGGCAGGGCTCCGCGGCTGTCCACAGTTCATGGTTGACACCCGAGGCCGGAGGAATGTCCGTCTTGAGGTCTACTTGAGGTGTACTAGTCCTTGCCAAGTCAGGATTCGCTGTATCGAGGGGGTAAGTGGCATCCTGGCGGAGGGCTGATGGAGCTGGTTTGTTGAAAGTGTTAAATGACATTTGTGCTAAAGCGTCATTGAGGAAGAGTGAATTTTCAATTTGTAAACTCTCGGATCGATTAAGTTCCATGACCTGAGTAAGAAAATTAAAAGAAAAAAAACACACACACACAATAATTTCTCCAGGCATTTGAACAAGTTTTACAAAGTATTTATTCCCAATAGAATTTATCAGTCAGCACTGTAATAAGAACGAAGTCAAGAAGAATATTACCACTGACTTCTTCCTTGCATCCCCTTTGCAATGAGCCAGCACCCAAAACTTCAATTTGCTGGCATGGCATAGCTTAAAAAATAAACAAACTATAAAACAAGCAGTAGTGCTCTCTGCATTCAAATGTTTTCACTTTTTTGAGAGGGTAGCATTTTATCTAACTTTTGCTAAATAAAAAAGCTGAAAACATATTCATGCATATATGTATTCGCAATAAGTATAATTTAGCCAACTTGAAAGGAAAGTCAGACACCACAGATCTTTTTTTTTTTAAATCCGCACCCAAGGATGTAACCCATTTTACCCATTACAAGGATGTAATCTGCACCCATTTACTGATTTTAGAGAGGGATGTGGGGGTGGGGGGAAGAGAAAGAGAGAGAGTCATCAGCGTGAGAGAGAAACACGGAGGGGCCGCCTCCCCCACACACTGACTGGGGCTCAAACCCAACACCTAGGAACGTGCCCCGATGGGGGTCAGACCCACACCCTTCTGATGTCTGGGATGATGCTCCAACCAGCTGACTCCCCCAACCAGGGCTCAACAGATATTTCCTATGAGCTAATCAACTTTTACAACTTCATGTACTTATCAGTAAAAAGCTGATATGTGCACACAGTACAGAAAAGTAAACTCCTGGGACAAACGGACTTGGCGAGGATGGTTAGAGAGGGTGCAAGTGGAACACAGAATCTCCTGAAAGGGCTCTGTCTGCCCAGCCCTTAATCTCTGCACTCATGTCAACCATTATTAGTGAACGGGGAGTGTGAATTCACTACATCGGATGGACACAAAGAGCATAAGCTTGGAATAACAGGACAGGGTTTGACTTGCTAAATTCAGGACCCACACTGCACATTAGTAGCCAACAGATCTGCTAAGCGGTACACCTGTACACAAGTCCAAGACCGGAGCACGTGGAGAGGCCTCGCCTGCGGGAAGGACAGCATGCTGGGGTGCTGTGCCTCCAGGGAAAGCTTCCTCTGACCGGGAAGGCTCCACTCTGGCTTCCTTCTCTGGGTAATGGCGACTCAGTACACCATGAGCCATGATCCAACAGGGCCTGGGCCTTTCTGGTGTCCCTATTTCAAATCAAGATGCACACTCATGGTCCTGAACGTCCCCAGCTTCTGGTACCTGCCTACTGAGTAACTCCTGTGAGCGCCCGCACAAGAAGCAGAGAGACAGGATGGCCATGAGTGAACCCGTCTTTGGAGAAGCTGCCCTGGACTCTGCCTGGGAGCACACCAGAGGGCGGGAGATCGTACCTCCGTGCTTCCGGGAGGGAGCTCCGCGGGGAGGCTGCTCTGCCGGCAGTGCTTCCAGCTGCACAGCAGGCTCTGCTGGGCGCGCACCCGCTCCCGCTCCCTCTCCACCTGGCGCTGGCCCTCCCGCAGCCGCTGCAGGTCCTGCTGGTAGTCCCGCAGCTGCTGGTCCAGCTCCCCGCGGCTCTTCCGCAGCAGCTGCTCCTGCGACTGGCACTCCCTCTCACGCTCCTGCAGCCGGCTCTCCCTGGCCTCCTGCTCCCTCCGCTGCAGGTTGCACCTGCGATGCCAGCGCCGCTGGTCCTGCTGGAACTGGTGCTGCAGCTTGGGGATGTTGGCCAGCTCCTCTCGCTGCTTCTCCAGGTTGCGGGACTTGTCCTGGTCCAGGAAAGGGCTGCCTCGCAAAGAGGGGCCAGGGGACAGGCCCTCCTGCTGCTGCAGAACCAGCCTGTGGATCTCAATGTGGCTGTCCTGAATGGTCAAGGCGGCCTGGCAGAGCAGAGAGGAAAAAGGGAAAGACTTCCATGTTGTTCCCACATGGGGCTGGAACTACCTCTCAATGCAAAAGCCACCACCCAACTATTTTCTCCTGTGCTTGCTGCCCTTTTGCTAAGTGACCCCAAAGACCGGCCTCTGCACTTCACATCTGTTTGTCTGCATTTCCCAGGGGTACAGCCTGGGAATTTGTACCAAAAGAACTAAAGCACAAAAGCACCCCCTCCCCTACTTTTGGAAATGGGGTTTATTGCTGGGTTTTAGATATTACATAAGCAAACCTTCAGAATAAGAATTCAGTACATAAATTCACAAGACTGCATTCCTATTCTTTGTCTCATGCCTCCTGCGGAATTCATGAGAAGCTAAGAACCCATACAAACTGGTAGTCTCCTCTATCTGAGTCTCCAACCAGGAATTACTTAAGCTGCGTTACGTCTACGAAGACACAACAATAAAAGTCAATCACTTGTCCACTTTCAGTAAGTGATCTGTTTGCAGCCTAATGCCCAGGACTAGCCGCTGATACCACATTTAGGATAAGAAAGAGGTAAAGTTAGTCTCGTTACTGCTGTTTCTTTGCAGCAGAGCTGGAAGGGCCTGCATAGAACACCGAGCTGAGATTCATTTAATAGATTGGTAACAGGAGGCAGCAATGATTAAGGAAACACAGATACTCTAAAGCCCAGAGGACATTACCAACTAGATTAAAAAAACAGTTTGAGTTACGGTATCTGCCTATGAAAACTTTGGCATCATCACAGAAAATAATTGCCAAGATTTGGAAGGATTCCACAAAACAAAACAAAAAAAACCCTCTGTGAATGCCCTTGGAAGCTTTTAATTTTAAAAGTTCCCACTTAAAGTGCAGAGCAGCACAGAGGACCAGACCGGAAATGGCCACGTACTGGGGGTTTGCGTGCGTTTTGACTCATTATGAAAAATTATCACTCTCCTAGGGATAAATTCACATTTTCCCTCCCTAAGAATTTTTAAAACTATCCGTGCAACAGATGCTGGAGAGACGGGGACTTGACCATTGGTAGCTCTTTGTGAGAAAAGCAGTTTCCCAATTTTTGAAGGTTAAAAACTAGGGCATAGGTGTATTTAAGTTGGTTATTGTCTTGGAATAAGATTTAAAAATGTATTCGCTGGGGTCTTTTGAAATAAAATTCATATTTTTCAACTTGAAAAGAATTCTCGAAATTTCAAATTCACATAAATGTTTAATTCATGTCTTTTAGAAGTTATTATAAAGAGAACAATCATTAAGAATAGATACTAGTTTCTTTTTAAAGATTTTATTTATTTATTGTTAGAGAGGGGAAGGGAGGGAGAGAAAGAAAGGGAGAGACATATCAATGTGTTAGAGATCCACAGGTTGCCTCTCATCTGCCCCCAGCTGGGGAGCTGGTCCATAACCCAGGCATGTGCCCTGACAAAGAACCAAACTGGCCACCTTGTGGTTCCCATACCAGCACTCAATCCACTAAGCCACTCCAGCCAGAGCAGATACTAATTACTTCAATCTTTAAATATGAAATAATAAGTCATTCGGGACTTTGAGGGCCTGGGTAAACAAACTGTAGACTATACGTCATCATTTAATTCTAATGAATCTTAAGGGCATCAGTATACTAAAACAAACAAAAATCCAGTATTTTACATGTCAAGACTATCATAGGCAATGACAGCTCTCATATAAGGGTTACTGTTGGACTAAGTGCTGCCAAATTCAACGTTTGGGAGAAGGCCACGCTCTTCTCTGCATAGAGGTGGGATTTGAAGATTGGATAGTATTTATTTTCACACTTAATGTTGATCATTAGAGAACAGCCTTTGCTTCTCAAGTTCAGGGAAATTCCCAATTCACTCTCTTAACTCTTCTTTGCTGGAGTGACTCTGTGGCCTTTCCTTTCTGCTTTGCCTACACCTCATCTCTGATTCTGCTCTCCTAATGCAGAGATCAAATTTCACTTTCTTCTGATTCAAAAATGCTTGGGTAAAAACTTCGGTCATGCATGAGAAGTTCAGCTTGGAAAGAGAGGACTGCCACGAACAGAAATCTCTCAGAGCCTATATCCTTATACCAACTCAAAACTTTGGGGAAGAGACTTACGTTGTTTCAACCTAATGAGCTGCAAAAGTTAGGTCATTTAGGTAGGTTGCCCTAGCCTTTCTGAATCTTGAATCCACATAGGGCTGCAATCCAAGTTGAAAAGAACAGCCCTGGCTGGTGTAGCTCAGTGGGATGAGCACGGGCCTGTGAAGCAAATGGTCACTGGTTTGATTCCCAGTCAGGGCACATGCCTGGGTTGCAGGCTGGGTCCCCAGTAGGGGGCACATGAGAAGCAGCCACACATGGATGTTTCTTTCCCACCCTTTCTCCTTCCCTTCCCCTCTCTCTAAAAATATAAATAAATAAAATGTTTTTTAAAAAAAGACCAGACAGGACTCTGGCAGTGTTTCCATCAGGACGGGCAGGACGAGGGGGGGGCTCAATGTTTTCATCTCCCCAGAGTTAACGAGCTACACTCAAAACACACCCCCTCTCAGAGCTGAAAGGCTTTTTATTTCACATGATAAATCCAGTCTCTAAGAACGTCTGCCCCTGACCAGCATGACTAGTGCAAGGCAGTAAAGGCATTGCCACTGAATTTTGGACAAGACAAGAATGCTCACTACTACCACCATTATTTAATATATTTTCAGAAGTTCTGGCGAAAGCAGTAAGCCAAGAAAATAAAACTGATACAATTATTGAAAAATAGTCATAACATCATTTTCAAATTTTTACTTTCTATCTGGAATATGCCAAAGAATTAACAGAAAACCTATTAAAACAAAAAATTCAATGATGAGTAGCCAATTACAAAATATACATAAAAATCAACATCCTTATTATCTGTAACCAGTACTGGGGAAACACAGTAAAAAAAAAAATTCCATTCACAATGGGAACAAAGAGACAATTATCTGGGAATAAACTCAGCAAAAACAAAACAAAACACAGTACCTACATGAAGATAATCACAGTTTCCCAGAACAGCATAAAATAAAAGATGAACAACAATACATTCTCAGAAAAGAGGACTAATTATTGCAAAGGTGCCAATTCTCCCCAGTTGAATTCATAAATACAGGGTGGGGCAACAGTAGGTTTCTAGTTAGTTGTTTGTGTGGAAAAACACCAAATAATGAATAAATAATGATACAAGAATAAACTCTGTTTTGCATACTCACAACTGGAGGCCTATTTTTGCCCCACCCTGTATAATGAGACTCTAACAGTCTTGGTAGAAAGATAAGAAACTTGTCGGTAATTCCAAAGCTCTTAGGAAAGAACATGCAGATAAGCATAGAAAAGGAACCAGAGGAGACCAGTGGCACTGTCATTCCGGGAAGGGTAACCTAAAACCGTGACAGCGAAGGCGCTGGTGCCAGGACAAGAACATGCCCGGTACAACATGAGAGGAAGAAGTCCTGCCGGCTGAAGCGCAAGTAAGAAAATGTCGAATGTAGTATGGCTTCACATTTTTTTCTGGTGAAGACTTAAAAATCAGACTTAATTTTATTTTCTTTTACTATTCAACAGGTATGAAATAGGAAGTACGATTGGTAATAAACCAGTAGGGGAAAAGCTGAATATTAACAGTAATCAAATTAAAATTAAAATAACTAGATACCTTGACCAATTTTCAAACTGACAAGTAGAAAGGGGTGTTGATTGATTATGTTGGCAATGTCTACTAAAAAACTAAAGAAAAAATTCTCGTAATTGACCCTAAGGAAACACAGACTAATGTCCAAAGAAATTGGTGTGCAAGGCCATCACGAGAGTGGCATTAATACAGAAGTGTAAACTGTGAGGAGCTGCATGCATCCCGTGGACCTTACACAACCATTAAACTTGTGCTATAGAATGATGGCTGACAACACAGAGAGGTGCGGGCTGCGAGACTCCGGGCAAAATGACTCTAGAAAACAGGCGGGGGGCGTGCCAAGCTGACGATAATAATCCTTTCTATAGAATCATGAGTCATTTTACTTTACTGATTTGTATCCTCCGATTTTTCTACAAATTTATCTGCAATACAACCATGGCTTTGATATCATTTAAAGATATTTTTTAAATCCACAAATTAAGCAATTAGATGTATGCAGCCTTTCTTGTATTTGGCCTAAGGGACCATTGCAACCTATAATCCTAAACACAACCGCGATGGCTAAGCCTGTCTTTGCAAGTCATTTGACAGCAAGTCACTTGGCAGCAGGCTTTGTGGTCCTCTGCCTCCAGATGCTCAGCCCACTGCGTGGCGCCTGGATAGACAGAACACCCGGTGAATGCTGGGTGGATGAACAAACAAAAGAATGAAGGAGTACATGAATCATTTAACTGCTCTAATGGCCTAAGGCCAACATGTGGAAGTGAACAAAGTTTAGGTGTGAATTTGAGTTTTCACCAGAAAATGTGAAGTCATGCTACACTCATCTAAGAGTTTCATTGTAAACTTCCAGCCAGGTCCCAGTCACCAGCATTTTTCAAAGATATGAACTGTTTTATGGTTTCAGAAGAGATTGGTGTACAATGTGGCAGTGGTGCTGCCTCGTGATTACGAAACCAGGCAAAGTTCAACACATCTCGCTGAGTTACGGTGGGGGCTGGCACCTTTTAACATCTTTCACTGCCTCGCAAGTGTTCTAATTTTTAAAATCTGGGAATCATCAAATAAAGTGAATTACATTAAGAGAAACATTCACAAGGTCAAAAATTAGAGGAGTGTAGTTACCTGAAGGCTATATAAGAGACGGGTTAAATTCTGTATTGCTTGTATAATCTGAAAAATAAGATCCTAAGTGTCAAATTCTTGAAAAAGCATTTATTATCCACAAATAGAGGATGGCAGTATAGGTAAGGTATGCTTAGCTCACCTCTGACTGTGAGGAACCTGGAAAACTTCTATAATCCACCTAAAATACATAAAAAAACATAAGAAAATGAGTAATCACTCTACTTTTGAAAAGCTGCATTGTAGTGTCCCCAAAAATATGACCTCGGGTAAATCACTGCACTCTCCCTAAACTCCTCTGTAGTGACTCTGTCCCCAACCCCCTATCCCCCAAAATCAAAGCCTGTACAAATGAACCATCACTTAATGAAAGCCCCTCTGAGCAAACTCAGCATTGAGAAGCGCGGCTTCTTCTCACCCAACCATTCCCTAAAACAACGAGGGAGCATGGTGAGGACACGCCGCACACTCTCAGTAAGTGACAGTGTTTGCCCTGCACAAACCACACTATACAGTGAGCTCCTTGTGCCGGGCTTGAGGTTGTCTCCCAGGCCAGACTTGGAAGCTGGAGAACATCAGGCCTGGTCTCGAGCTCCTGTCTCAGTTTTTGAGAGGCGCAAAGTCCAAACAGGCAGAAGAAAGCAGGCCCAGAGGCCGCTGGAAGGGACAGTGAGGGAAAGTGTCCCTTCTAGCACAGAAAAGGGAAGTGAGACCAGCAGAGAATGCAGACACACAAATAAACACTGAGTTTTAAATCTTTTTAATAACTTTTCAAGTGTTTCTTTGTTTACACCCAGATGATTTAGGGAGATCACCCACAGGCAGCCCAAAGGGGAGCACTCAGCTGGCCTGCTCTGGATTCCACCTCTCAGAGCTCACTGACTCTCCGAGACCGCCTCACAGAACCACCGTCGGCAGAGGCCTTGAATGAGGCCACCAGGGACCCAATGCCCCTGGGGAATGGGGTCTCTCTACCCACACATTAGGGGCACGGGGGGACATGGGGTTTCCAGTTTCCAGAGTTTAGGTGAACATCTGTCTATTCATTTATTGGCCGTCTTTTCTCACTAGGATGTAAGCCAACCAAGAGCAGCATTTCATCTGGGTACTCACTGCTCTAGCCACAAACCTGCATGGAACAGATGCTCACTCCACTGTACAGAAAGTATGTGGCACCCAGCGTGTATTCCACACCTAGTGCCATGGAAGGTCAGCAGACTCCCTGCCTTCCAGGAGCCTCCAGTCTCCCACTGCTCTCGTCTGAGCAGCTTTAAATGACACCACAGCTGCCAGTGCTCAGGTGACACTGGGCTTGTTAATCACTTCAGGCTGCTGACGATGCCTTGATGGCCTCGCCAGATCGCTTCCCTCACACTGCCCATGAACCACATTATTAGCCAGCACCTCTTCCAGAGGACGGATAAAGGATGGGGAAAAAAACGAAGTTGAGGGTCATCAGATCTGTTCTCAACCCCCTGAAAGACAATGGGGGATAAGAACCGCCCTTCTGTGGTGCGCTTCGGAATTCTCTCATTTCTGGTTCTGTTCTTGCTCCACACTCCACGGTTTTTGTAATAAAAAGATTGTTTGATATATAATTTTTATATTCTATAAAAATTGGAAACATGGAAATGAGTTGAGTTATGCTACGTGTGGTTCCTTATTTCCAAGAACCACACCAGGTTTGATACAAGACAGGAATGTTTAACATCATATTTTTAATGGAGTTGGCCCGCCACCTAGTGGTCAATTTAGATAGCTACAGTCGGTAATTTCACTCAGGATATTTTGTCATTTGGGTAACAAATTTAATTTTTTTAATTCTTTAGAAAATTTTTTTAAAAACCCTTACCTTATTAAGAACTTTAATTATAAAATATCCATTGTATATTTTTGAAAGTTTAATTTCAAGTGATCTTGCCTCATCTGTCAGTTCATTTAGTTTATCAAAACGCCTTGTTAATGGCAAATTTCCCAGACAGGTTCGTCCAAAGAGGCAGCCGGACACTTCATCTCACTTACCTGTGACTGCATCACGGAAGGAAAGACTTTAGGGGTGGGAGGCAGCGTCCCACCAAGAGAAACGTATTAGTAAGCACCCTGCTCCCCCTTCCTTTCTCTAATAAAGTAGAAGCAGTTGGGAGCTACGAACTGCAGAGTGAAGGCTCCACTGAAAAGGATGGAGAGCAGGAAGGGTTTTTAAAAGAAAGAAGTTAGAAGGCGCACAGTTGGAATAAGTGGAGGAAAATACTGAATTCCTATTTTTGTTTCAGCCTATGGCATTTTAAACACTCAACCACAGCCATTTTTTCCCATGGATTTAAAAACTATCGTTGGATTTGGTTTCTCAGTCATTTGTATATTTATACAAAAAATACACATAAGATGCAACGAAGACAAAGATCTGACACATGCCACTCCCCACGCTGACATGTGCTGGTATGTGGCCGCTCACCTCCTTCGGCCCCAGACACAGCGCAACCCCCGAGCCCGGGCGGCCCTGGGGAGGCCCAGTGGCCGCCTCCCAGAGCCGCGCTCCTACCCCTGTTCTGATGGCTCAGCTTCACTGGAAGTTGATAGGAAGTCTCCCACATTTAGTTTTCAGAAGAGAGTGTTGTAACTTACATGGATAGAATGTCAAGAAAGAAAAGGCCCCAAGAAGAAAGAAAGAGAGAAAGACAGAAGCGATATTCCCACATCAGAACTATTTCTGCTGCTCCAGTGCCAGGTCGCACCAAGGCCCCAGGCCCCGCCTCGGCCAAGAGCTGCTCAGCGTGGTGGGTGAAAGCCAGGGCTTCAGCACAGAAAGGGGAAGTGAGACCAGCAGAGAGTGCAGACACACAAGTAAACACTGAGGTTTAAATCTTTTTAATAACTTTTCAAGTGTTTCTTTGTTTACACCCAGATGGTATAGAAAAATCAAGAACATCTTAAGAAGAAATCAGAAAGTATACACATGAATATTAAACTTGAGAACAATTCAGGAAAACACATACTGGTCTGGCCGTGGACAGACCAGGACCTGAGGTTATTTCATTACACACAGCAACCGGGGCCATTTGCTAACAAATCGGTTCACAATACCTTCTCCCCTGCGTCAGAGACCGCCAAGTCAGCTCCCACACCCTGGGTCCCGGAATCCACATCCCAACAGCCTCTTCCTCCTGTCCCTTCCGTGACTAGTGCTGGAAGCACGCCGTTGAGACAGAGACAAAAAGGACATGGTCACACATCAGCCACTGGACTGGGCTCTCCTGTCCCCAGCCGACCCATGGTTCCCAATAACGAGCACCATAAAACCACACGCATCGGACATTCTCCTATGAGGTGCCTCCACAGCACAGAGCAACGTGGAGACCCTGCCCCCAGGGAGCGTACAGGCTAACAGACACCAGACTGACAAATGGCATCAATTACCGCCCATCTTTTTATTTTGCTTCTTTTCTTGTAGAGGGGTGGTCGTGTGCAGGTGGTGAAATGGAAAGGGGGGGCTCTGCATCCCACTTTCACCTCACAGGGAAAAGCCACCTGGGGAGGGCCGGGCTGAGAACAGGCGTGTGGGGCAAAGCCGGCTGGAGGACCGGTCTGCGGAGGGCCCCCTGGTGGCCGGTGGAGACAGCAGGCCACAAACCAGGCTCGGGAGGGAGGGGCAGGAGCGGGTCATCCTTCTGAGCAGGGGAAGGTGGCTGCTCAGTGAGGTCCTTCGTGACCTCACTGTCCCTATCTCTAACTAACTGATTTTTAAAAATAATTTCCGAGTGGATTTTTCCTCCCAACTCTTGTTTATGCGCTAAATTTACAATACTAAAACTGCTACATATTTAACCTATAAAAACACAGAAATATTTCTAGTCCAGAAATATTTTTAAGTACCACCTATGGATTTCACCCCATTCATTAAATCTCTGTTGGTGGGATTTTATTTCTATGAACTCAGTTAAACTCACACTCTGCTCAGCTTACACTGATTAAAACAACCTTCTAAAGCCTTTCACACACAGAATTCCATTGGAAGCTGGTCCAGTCAGGCCCCTGATGAAATAGATATTCACATTGTGACACTTTATATAATTTGTCCCCAGTGCCATCATGAAACTTTATTTCTGATAAAAGGGAAATGCTTTTTTCCCTCTTTGTTTAAATGAGAGTCCTTTGTTACAAAGAAGTTTTTTGTTTAAGCAGAAACAACTTCAAATTATATTAGCTAAAAATTAAGCTCATTTTGTCCAAGCCGGCCAAAGCTTGTTCACTTATAGTGAAGGGACAACTTACAGAGACTTTTCTGTCACTAAAAAATTGGTTCCACTATTGGGCACCGTTCTTAACTTGGACAGATGCCAAAGCATTACCAAAGAATTAACCACTCTTTGTCTTCTCCCCCCACAAAAACAAGGGCCATCAGATGGGAAAGCAGCTGATGGAGAGTCCAGTCAAGGCAGAAGAATGGAATACAGATCACGATCCTCTATTCCTGTCTCCCATGTCAGAGTGGGCAAGAGGGTCTCCAGAATTTCACAGGCAGTAGACTACACCCATCCACCGGACTGGGCCCATCAAGGACCAAAACCAGAGGGCCTTGCTTGGTCTACAGCCTCAGACTGACGCTGGCCTGACTTAGCAAGATACTGTCCTCAAAGTCAAACCCAGAATGGACCCTTCGGGACACACCATCACTAAGGAATGGTATTTTTGTCCCCATCAACCTTATATGAGAATCAACTCCTACAGCCCCCTGCTCCAGCCCAGCCTAGAGCCGAGTAGGTCTTTGGGGTACAGGACCCCGCCAGTGCGCCCCTGTGCCCCTCTGAATGGATCCTGATGGGAGACCACTGCCAACAGCCTCTCGGGGTCTGGCAGATGTCATGGGTGTCCCTAGGAATTCTCCCAAGTCCGGGAGCTGTGGATCCCGACCGGGAACAGCTTCCCTGCCTGGTCGCTGGGAGGGGAGGTGTAGCCGTGGGCCCCGAGCAGCCGGCCAGCCCGACAGACCCTCCCCCCCAGCTGTCCCGGGGAGTCCGAGAGCAGCAGAGCCCTGTGTGCCTGTTTAGATAGAACGTCCTCAACGGCATAATGAGGCTCTTCTCTAACAAGGAAATCACCCAGGGCAATGCAACTCCCCTGATGAATTGGGGCTGTGTTTAAATGAAAAACATATGTGCACATTCTGAAAATAGAAACCCAGGATTAGATAAAGCAACCTTAAGAGGGGAAAACACTAAAAACTGTTCTGCTTCCATGTACCTTAATTATCCAGGGGAAGACATTTAATCCACCGATCTCTAGCTACTAAAGACATATAAGACCTTGTGGGAGTATGGTTTTTACCACCCAAGCATAATTTTAAAATACTTTTTAACTATCTTTTTTTATGCTCTTATCTCAGTAACCTTTGGGGAATTAAATAGTTGGCTTACCGCTATACATATAAAAGTACAATTAGGTTCAGGAGTTACCTAAATCAACTCTCCACATTCTATTTTTCTCTATTTAAAATGTATTAGAACAGAGTTTTAATAAATTAATTCTGACCTGAAGTTACAACAACACTGATCAGGGAGCTTTGGGCACTTCTGCTCTTTTTTTTTCCAGTTTTCTTTTGAAGGTTTTTAAAAGTTGGATGTACTGGGGTGACACTGGTTAGTAAAATCATACAGGCTGCAGGGGTGCAATTCTACATCATCTGTACACTACTGTGCTCAGCACGCCAAGTCCCTCCATCACCATTTACCCCCCCAACACCCTCCCCTGTCCCCCCCCACCATACCCTCCCTCTGACGATGATCACACCGTTGGCTGTGTCTGGGAGTTTTGTCCTGTTTTTCTTAATCCCTTCATCTTTTCACCCAGCCCTCCACCCTCCCTCCCCTCTGACAGCTGTCAGTCTGTTCTCTGTGTCTGTGGGTCTCTATCTGTTTGTTGGTTTATTTATCCACATCTGAGTGAAGTCCTGTGGTGCTTGTTCTTCTCTGACCCGCTTACTTCCCTCTGCACAGTGCTGTCCGGGTCCGTCCTCCCTTTCACCCGCACGACCGAACCTCGGATGCGTGTGTGTACCTACTTCTTTGAGTTATGCTTTCTCCACTGATGTGCAGGAGATTAAGTTAAAGGACTTGTTCTCTAAAGAACTGCAGAGACCCTTTCTTAAAAAAAAAAAGTTGAAAAGTTCTTTCAAAACTGTATTCAATAAGTGATATCAAAAATGAGACAGTAAGTTTGGGGAAGGCACACAGCCTGCCTGGACAGCAGAGCATTGAAACCCACCAACTAACTATTCTTCAAGCCTGTTCTCAGTACAACAGTGTCATTACTACATGTAAGGGAGGCAGGAGTATTTATTCTCCGTGTTTTTTCAAAATTTAAAAAATACATTATGACCCCTTCAAGTAGGAACACAGCTATTGCCTTCATTTGGGGGGACCACCACACACTCCGGGGAGCGTGTGCAGGGTCCCCGCACAGGCACGGTCACTTACGTGCAGCAGGCGGTCCCGACGCGTCATGAGAGGCGGGCGCGTCTGCCGGGGCCGGCCCCCCGCTGGCCTCCTCGGAGGACTGGCACGCGTCGCCCGCCTGGGCGGCCTTCACCGCGGTCTGCAGGCTCTCAGCTTAGGAGGAGGAAAACAGAAGTAGATTTAAAAATAGAGAAATACAGGGCGGGCAAAAGTGGGTTGACAGCTGTTCGTATGGAAAACAGTACAACAACTAATAAATAACACAAGAACCAACCCTGGGTTTTGCATACTCACAACTACAACCCTGCGTTTGCCCTGCCATGTGTGTGTTCACATGTAGATGCACGTACATTAAATCTGGACCAGGGGCTGGCAGCTGTACTTGGCCTGCGCTTGGCTTTATATGGCCCAGGAGCAAAAAAACGGTTTTCACTTTTTTAAAGAGTGGCCAGAATACATGCAGATGTATGTATGCATGCACACATAGAGAATAACGTGACCCAGAAACTGTCTGTGCACTGCAAAGCCTCAAATGTTTATATGCAGCCCTTCACAGGAAAACTTTGCCAACCTGCAATCCAGACCAATACTTTAGGCAGCATTTTATGATAGAGAATCCAATAAAGAAAAACAAGCTTGTATAAAAATACCTCAAGGGCACCTTTCAGGAAACGAATTGATTTACTGAAAAATCCAATTAATTTAAATATGACATCAGGCATTAGAGTTTTAAGACTTGCTACTCTGATATGGTGGCTATTCTTCAAAAGAGTACTTCTCCAAACACACATTCAGAACGAGACCCCTACGCCTCACGGAGACCTGCCGGATCAGGTTGTCCCAGGGAGGAAATAGGGAAGTTGCACTTTCAGCACCAAAGGGTTTTCAGTGACACGTGAAAAGGGCACATGGGCAAAGCCAGAAAGGGGCAGGATCAAGGGTGGCAGGCGGGTGTGGCTGGGGTGGGGAGGGAGTGGTGGGGGAAATAGAGACACCTGTACTTGACAATAAAAATAATGTGGCAAAAAAGGAAATTTTAAAAAATCTAGTAAGGTTTTAAGGAAGCTTTTTATTTACAATAAGATTTTCAACTAGCATGTGGAATCGTATTATTTTCAGGACCCGATAAATATTTCTAAAACAGTGTCCAATGATTTGATTTAGCAAATCGACAACCTACTCTGTTCCAGGGGCTCCTGGGCATGTGATACCCAGAAAGGAGAGTTTGGAGACTGGAGGGGGAAGAGACACAGACAACGAACAGAACTCCAGGCAGCACGCGCTCGGTGCTGAGTTCCATCACCCAGGCATCGGAGCAAACAACGCAGACTCGCAGATGGAGAACAGGCTGATGATTACCAGACGGGAGGGGCGATGGGAAACTGGGTGAAAGGGGGGAAGGAATTAAGAAGTACAAATTGCCAGGTATAAAAACAGGATATACTTTACATGGGATATAAAGTACAGCATGGGGAATATAATTGATAATATAGTATTGTAATAACTATATATGGTGCCAGGTGGGCACCAGACTTATCAGTGTGATCACTTTGTAAGGTACATAAGTGTCTAATCACTATGCTGTACACCTAAAATGAGTACAATATTGTATGTCAACTGTTACTGAAAAATAAAGTTATTTTTAAAGTGCTGCAGCAGTAAGTAGCTCAGAAGAGCAGGAGGGCTGCGTTAGCCAATGGGATTAGCAAAGAGTTCCTACAGGAGGGGACACCTCCAAGCAGAATCTCGGAGAGAGGACTGAACTCGGGAGGCAGAGAGAGAAGTGGGGAAAGGAGGGAAGAACAGCAGGTGGCAGAGCAAAGACCGAGAGAGACAACTCGAGGTGTGTGACGAGCCTGTCCTTTTCTCCATGGTTAATTACCTTACCCTGCTAAGAACTCCGGCTAATAAACCTCTCTGTGTGACTGTTGCTGGCCAGCCAAAGGGTTGGATTATCCAGCCTGAGGCTCAGGCAGAACCTCAGTTGCACTGGGTTCTCTCGAGCAGCTGGGTCCACCTGCTGCTCTCAGCACGTCCACCCCACGGTTGGCCAGAGGGATGAAAGCAGATGGACTCGGGGCCCAGCGTTAGTGACCACTTCCATGGGGAGAGGCAGGGAAAGTCACTGGGTAATACTGAGAGCAGGTGACTTTTTTCAGTAAAGATACTATCAAAGATAATGAAAGGGTCACCAGTGTTTCTCAACCCATCTGAAAGTCCCTTGGGCTTTCTTTCTAAAACAGATCTTGTGTTTGTCCATTTCTTCCTGCTCCCACTCTCTGCCAGCCTACCTTGGCCACCAACTCCCATGGCCACAGCCTCGACTTTGCTATGCTCCCTCCACATGGCAGTCGGAGAGCTCCTTTTAAACCACGAATCAGATCACCCTCTGCTCCACACCCCACCACACTTCCCATCTCACTTAGAATGAGTCAACGTCCTTACCTCCATCCGGGCAATCTGAGTCCTCGTTAATGCTGGCTCACCTCCTGCCACTTCCCGCCCCTCACTGCACTTTACCTGCACTGTCCTCCTTGCCGTTCCTCAAACAAACGGGGTACTCGCCTGCCTCAGGGCCTTTGTGCCTTTTGTTCCCACGCCTGGGACCTTCTTTTCCCAGGTATCTATTTGGATTTCTCAATTCCTTGGGTCTGCTTATATAGCACCATATCGAAGAGGCCTTCACTGCCCGCCCTGTCCGAAACAGAACTCCTCTACCCCATTATGCTCTATCCCCCACACCCTGCTCATTTCTTTATTGCACTGGACATAACCTGATGCATCTACTTCCTTATATTTTGCTGTTTCGGGAAACAGATTCCGGGCGAGTCAGGACTTACTCTGCTGCATCCTCAGCACCAAGACCACAGTGCGTGGCTGGTAGCAGGGTGTCGATAAATGCCTCCTGCATTTGTCAAACCACGTCCTTTTGGAAGCTACCTACCTTCTTTCAGGGCTGCTGCCAGTAGCGAGGTGGCCTGGGGAGGCTCTCTCGGGTCAGGTTTGATGAGGAGGTGGGGCTCCAGGTGGACATCCTCGAACCCACTCAGCTCTCCAAGTTCAGCGTAGATGTGCAGCTTCTCCTCCAAATACGTACAGATTTGCTGGTCTTGATTACAGAGTATTTCTAGAAAACAGTGTTCACCACAGATGGTTATCCCATGAATATAACCACTGTCATGAAAGTCCAAGTTACAAGACAAAGTTGTTGCTGATTAGGAGGCCACATGATCCAACAGCTGAACTAAAGTTGTTAGGCGGGACAAATCCAAGTTCAAACCCTAACTATCCCATGCAGTGTCTGCAGCCTCCAGCGAATGACTCAGTTCTCTGAGCTTCCGCTGTATTTTCTATGAATGAGGCACAGAACGAACGTCCATCTCCCCAGCTCCAGAAGAACTTCCAAGGCCACTTTTCAGTGCTGCTCTCTTCTGTCATGACGAAGCATCAAGCTCAGGAATGAAGCTGAAGTGGCTTGTCCACAAGGGAAAGCCACGATGCTACGGCCAGAAGCTGCTCAGGCCTCACCAGCCTCAGCCAAAACCAAACACGATGGTTTACGTTTTTACTTCTAAACATCCGATTTCTTTGACCATCTCTGCAAGCATCATTTTCCTCTGATTTCAACATGTCACAGGATTCTTCGAGCTTAAAGGGACCTTACCCAGTGTCTGCCCCAGGGGTTCTCAGTCCTCTCTGCCTCAGAATCACCTGGAGAGAGTTTAACATACTAATGTCTGCACCCCGCCTGACAGATCCTGACTGAATTGGTTGAGGGTGGGGCCGAGGCATCAGAATTTTTAAAGGCCTCCCTCAAGTGCTTCTAACGTCCAGTCGGAGAAGAGAACCACTGAGCTAGCCTAATTTCCTTATTTCACAGACTTGGAAACTGAGAACCGGAGCTCTTGTGTTCCTTGTTCACAGCCAGACAACTATGTTTTAACGGTGCTGGGCCTTAATGTTAAACCACCGGAGCCTTGGCTGCGTGGCTCAACTGCTTGGAGCATCGTCCCATGCATCAAAGTGTGGCAGGTTCAATTCCCCGTCGGGGCGTGTATGGGAGGCCACTGATCCGTGTTTTTCTCTCTGTGTCATCAATGAAAACGTATCCTCAGGTGAGGATTAAAAAAGATTAAAAATTAAACCACTGGACAGCGGTTCTAAGGCCCATCTGTGCCACACCAGCCACAGTTACTGTTCCATACATGTTACATAGAGAATTTTAAAAATATATTCTTTTTTAACATTAAATATTACTGTGTATCAGTTTCAGGTGTACAGCACAGTGGTTAGATGATCATACACGTTATGAAGTGTTCCTCTGGTACTTCCGGTGCCTGCCTGGCACCGTACAGTTATCACAGTATCACTGACTGTGAGCTCCATGCTGTCTGTGCTTTACACCCCCGTGACCGCACGGTAACTACCAGTTTGTACCTCTTAATATCCACATTTTTTTCATGCAGTTCACCTCCCACCCCTCTGAGAACCATCAAAATGTTCTCTATGAGTCTATTTCTGTTTTGTTAACTTACATTGTTCTTTAGAGTCCACCTACACGTGAAATCGTATTGTAGTTGTCTTTTCTGAGTGACCTATTTCACTTAGCACAACACCCTCCTGGTCCACCCGCGTTGTCACAAATGGTTAAGATTTCCTTCTTTTTTTATAGCCAGGTGATATTCCATTGTGTATATGTGCCATGGCTTTTTAAATATATATTCTTAGTCAAAAAGGAGGAAGGAGGGAGAGGCACATCTCATTTAAGCACGTTTAGTAGCAGTGCCTTTTGCTTTTCAGGTGGTTAGGGTGGGCCTCACATGTACAGAATTAGATGAACCAGTCAGTCAGTCACAGCTTTCCATTCATGACACCCAGTCTTTTTCAACATGCACGAACACACACAACACTCAGGGGGCCAGAGGTGCTAGCACTACCTTGACATTGCTGAATTTTGGCCACTCTGGCTTCAGCTTTCCGCCTCTCTTCATCAGACTCGCTTGTCCTCCCCCCGTCTTCTTCTGGGCAGCTGTCAAAGACAACGGTCGAGAGAGTCAACTGAAACCAAAGCCAAGTGTCTTTAGGCTCATTGAAAAGACACAGGTACTGGCAGTGGAATTACTTTAACAAAATTCAGCATCAGGAGGATTCATCATGCCCCAGGCCAACAGGGTGAATGGTTTTCTTGAGTATATAAAGGACCCTGCATAATATAGCACAGCTCTCAAAGTCAGCCATGTAAGAGGACTCGAATTCCCCAACAAACTCACGTCCACATACACTCGTGTACACACAACACCAATGCCAGCATTAGACACAACTAAAATAATAATCTTGTTTTCTTCTACCTGTGGGCAGTTCTGTTAATGGGTAGAGCAGAGGTAGGGAATGGGAGCGGGCACCAGGTTGTGGGGGCACAGCGGCGTGAAGGAACTTTACGTAAGGTCACTCAGGGTCTAACAAATCAGACCCCCATGAAGCATGACCACCCGCAACCTCCCGGTCCCACTTACGGAAACTGCCCTCGCACAACCATTAGAAGTAAACTGACTGCGACCACTCATCCAAAAACGTTTACTGATCGATTCTTCAGTCCCTGCCCTCAAGGAGCTTCAATCTCATAGGTACAGACACACAAGAAATGACACTGGCTACAAGGCAGTGGACGACAAGTGCCCAACAGATGCTGCAGAGAGCGAGTAGTAACGAATGTCAGGAAAGAAGGAGGCCACTGGAGCCAAACAGGTCTTCACGGAGGCACTGAGCGTGAGCCGCCCAAGATGGGCCGGGCTGCGTGGGCCGGGGTGGTGGGGGCTACACGCCGGCAGGCGGGGAGCCCCCTACAGAGGAGGGGCTGTCTGGGCAGGTGCAGCGGGCAGGCCGCTCTGGCCGAGGCAAAGCTTTCATGCAGAGGAGACACAGTTAGAGCACTGCCCCCAGCCGACCAAGCCCACTCCCCAGGAGAAGGACTGGGGGGCGGTTACCTCTCCACGGCCTGCTGGATCCGTCTCATCCAGTTATTTCGTTCCTCCTTGGAGTTGGTGTGAATCTCGTACATCTCAGGGCCGGCAGAAGAAGCACTGATGAGGAACATGCCTCTCTCCTCATTAGCCACTTCTCGAGCGATGAGCTTCTGAAGGGAGATAACGGATGGCTTCTGGTCCTACATAAAAGATGGGGACAGGCAGGTGAAGCAGCAGCACCCTATGGACAGTGAGGGGCACACCACGCACTAGCGAAGGGAGACGACAGTGTTGGGTGAGTCTGAGCATCTCTTCCATGTGTTCCCAAGAGCTGTGGAGGTTGGCAAGGTCCCCATGGGAAGGGCATGGGGAGGACAGGCTGGGGAAGCAAGATGCAGGAGGACGGCTGTCCTCGGGAACTGGTGGTTGAAAGCATCCCTTTTAAAGAAACCAACGTGTCACTGACCACAGTGTATGCAGGCGACGGCTAAGCCTCCTCTTGGGGAAGCAGAGTGTGGGACATAAATCCCCGTCTCCGCTACTTGCTACAAGTAAATAAAACTACTTTGCAACAAGAAATAAAGTAAAATAGAAGGACAGTTTTTTTCAAACAGGGATCAGAGCATTAAGAAAAATACCAAAATGGCACAGTCAGGGTTGGAAGGATTTTTGTAGAAGCGCATGGGATAGGAAATAGTACACCAAGTGATACAAAGAGATTGAGAGGGCTAGAAGCCCACCTACAGGGTCCGCTGGACTGGGCGGTTCACAGCAACACTTCCCCTAAGGTGGTGGATGCACCCGGTACTAAGAGGCGGAATGTGAAAACGAAAGGCGAGACTGAGGAGGCCGGGCCTGATTCCCCGGCACAACCGGTGTGTCCTGCTCTTGCAGGAGCACGGCCAGCACCCGCTACAGCTCTGTCTGAAATTGCTCCTTCCCACCAACCAGGGGGGCCCCGGGGGCAGGAGCGTTTCCAACTCATCTTCACACGTCTGACACAGAGCAGGGCCTCAGTGACTGCCTGGAGAACTAGAGTTAGCTTAATTCCATCAGAGGGGAACAAGAGGAAAGTCTAAAATGTGGCATCCAAATCACGATTAAATCATCGCTTCTCCCAGGTGCCCTTCCAAGTCCTGGGGATTCAAAGAAGAGTAAGACTCTGACCACAGTGATGTCCAATAGGTAGTCAGCTGCAGTTGAAAGAAGAGCCAAAAAATGCCTGCTACGATGTTGAGGGTAAATGGGAAGAATCTCCTTTGGTTTGTGGCTTCTGCCACTGTTTACAGAGTCGGCTGCAGTACATGGTTTCACTTCCCACCGATGGACTGAGGGGCGCCCCTCTCCAGCACACGCCCACCACTCCATCCCTCGCCGCCGACTCCTTGGCGTTGGCTTCGCTTCCCCAGCATCACGGGGCTCTCCCACCTCTGAAGGCGTGTGCAGGGCTTACCCAGAGTACCTCTCCATCCCATCCCTCTCAGGGCAGAAAAAGTGAAAATAAAGAAAAGGACAGGCTGCTGGCCTGCCCAGTCCCGTGCTCAGCCTCTGTGAATGGAAGCCGACGCAGCTCTGTGGCCATGCTTTTCGAGTCTGGCCACGTCTAGTGAGGGAGCGCTCCTGAGCATGGGCACTATCCCGCACTCGGCCACGGACCTGCTGTCTAAGACCCGGTCTGCTCTCCCTCTTCCAATGCACAGCTTTAGCGTCCTCAGCTTACAATATAAACAGCCTCTTTCTATAAAGAAGTGGAGTAGGTCAAGATGGAGTAGGCTCAAGAGGCCAGAGAGGAGGGACAGACCCTATCTGAAGTCACACTGTAAGGTAAGTACCACAGCCTGGTCTGAGTCCAGCAGTCTGCCATCCTCGAAAACTAAATTGTTGTCTAAATGCTGCGCCTAATTCTTGACCCATCATCAGGTCACTTGGCCAGTAATATCAACCAAGAAGCAGAATTTGTTTCTCCTTTAGGTCTTTGGTTTTGAAGAACCTTTGTTTCTATAAAGATGTGGTGTAAATTATTTTTTCTTCCAGCTGGGCTTTCACCAATCCACAAGCCAAACAAAATGGTCCCGCCTTCCTACTTACTTACTCTGTGTTCTTCCAGAGCATCCCAGATAGCAGCAGAGAGAGGGTGCCAGACCAATCAGTAGGTTGTCATGAAATGTGCAAATATACAGCTTCAGTGGACCAGGGGCACGAGAACTTGTTTAAGGCCTCCTGCAATCCTCTGGTGTAGCTTTGTGAAAGAATCTCTGACTTTTTCACAACCTGTAACTCTGTACTGATAAGAGGCAATGTGCTGAAGGGGGTGAAGAAGCCTATGGCGCCAACCTGACAAGCATGGACACTCAGGTGAGGCACTGATCCACCCACTTCCCCCCCCCAGAACCCATCACTGGGCAGGCATGCTTCTTGTTCACTCAGCATAACAACAGAAAACTCATTAAGCTTTGAATTTGCCAAAATCAGCTGGAACTGATACCTGCTAATGACACCTGAACATCCTAGTGGTCAACAGATGACAATCGCCAGCACTTTAGGGACACCACGACACTGTCCACACTGGTACTGCACGTTAGATTCTTTCCTCTCCCGGGAAGATGCTCTGTGATGCATCATGGAGTTAGCTGATGGCATCTTCCTTCTTCAAGCAAGTCATTTTGGACCACAACATGCTGTGTAACTAATGTTACAAAACTCTGGTTTCACTGCTAATCTAAGTCTAACTCTGCTGGCAAGATTAACATAACATACTATAGAGGTAACTGTTACATGAATAGCCTTATTCATTTGTAACCATTATAGTAGAAATAAGAAACAGTCTTTAAACTTCAGGTACCAGGATGGTGCTTTCTTGTTGGATAGAAGAAATGTCACGACAGTTGTGAATGGGGTTCGCAACAGGCAGAGCAGGCCGGTCCAATGGCACAGGGAGCAAGGTGCCAAAGTGACTGGCACTAACGCCTGAGTTGCTGAAAGTCAAAGGCAGGATATACCCAGATGGCAGAGGCTCATCTGGCGGGGCTTAAGGCAGTGCCTATTCACCAAGCAGCACCAAACAACTTCAATATTTTCACGGTTGCTTAAACTGCTGAACCAGCTAACTACCTGTCCTAGCTGTGGTAACTCAACACTTACCCTGCCAGTTAAATCCAATCAGATGCGCGTCACGAAACACCGCCATCACCAATTTCAGTGGGAACGGAACAGGGGCGTATTCTTGCCAATGATTATTTAATGTCACTGGGAATGTCGGGCATTTTTTCAAGGAGATGTGGGATCAAACCATTTAAAACATGCATCGCATGGTCATATACTTACGACTGCTGCGAAGATGTATTTCTGGTCTTTCTCTTGTAAAAAGAGCAGCACGTCGGTTAGAAGTAGAGCTAGGATATCTTCAAAGAAAAAAAGCATTATTAGTATTAATGAAGCAAACCACAGTTCAAATGCCCTCATTAAATATTGTGATTTCATGTGTGAATTTAAATACATGTATTAGAAATCAAGAGAGTAAGAGTTAGTCTAATTATAAGACTTTTATAAAAATGCCTGTATTATGATAGCCAAAGATATTTTTATGGATAACTTGACAGGTAAGCTGTGTTTGGGGATACATGCTTATATGTGTAACTATAAGTATTGCTAAATCTCCAGCAAAATTTAATGTTGTAGCTTTTAAAAAGGAAGAAAAATATCCAATTAAAAGACAGTTTTAACAGACTGGAGCAAGCCCTTACCTTTATGGGGAATAAAAGATGTTCAATTAAAAATGTTAGAAAGCAGTTTCTGCCCTGAATTAGATATATAAAAATCTGCTATTTTGCTCCATCTAGACCTGAGGAAGTTTGAGATCCGATATTCCCCTTACAAATTGTGCCCAAGAACCATCTTCTCTACACACTAACCATTCTGACACACAAACCAGTGATTCTACAAAATGGATAAGGAGCAAATGACTTGGACACACGGGACCTACAGACTGCACTTCATATTTTACGTTGGTTAACATTGTCATTGAAGTGGCGTTTAGCTGCAACGCAGCAAGCTGCTGATCGTCAGCTACCACCTCAGTCAGCAGTGCCAACCTCCACCAAAACTTGCCCATCCTCACCTGGACTCAACAACCTCCCAGCGCTTACCTAAGGATGTTAAGATGTGTTAAAAATGAGGAGGACAAACCAGAAGTTCTTAACCTGGCTGCACAGCAGGCTCACATGGGAGCCGTTAAGCATGCCTGAACTTGAGCTTCACCCCCAGACTGATACACTCAGAATTTCTGGGAGGAGAGAAGCAGTTTTAAATTTCTGAAGCTCCAGAGCTGATTCTAGAGTGTGGTCAGGGTTGAGAACACCCAGATGAGGCAAGATGCTCCCTACAGAATCAGCCCTTAAGCATCTGAATGAACTGTTTTAGACCCAGAGTCAAGTTGACGCCCATTAGCAAATAACAGCAGTGAGGAAGCATTTGCACCAAATGTAAACATGGCTACACAGTGTTACTCAGTAACAAAGATGACACTTGGAGCTCATTTCTCCCCTCAGTCTGGAGCCGGGCGGCACAGGCCGACTCCAGCAGGTGTACCGCCTCGCTTTAAATACACATTTGCCAGATTAACATTTCTGTGCCAACCATTAGCTGAACTTTCAGTTCTTTGATTCCAACATCACAAACTTGCGCATTCACAAAACACATGTGGCGGCTCTTTGCTTAGAGCAGCAAACTGCTACCACAGGTCTGTTGCATTGGCCACACTGCCCACGGACGTGCACGCCTTGGTCCCACAAGAATTCTCCCGCTGACCCAGAGTCTGTGTGTGCGGCTACGTCTCTGAAGCAGGTTTCTTTAGAAAATCTGCCCTTGGTTAAACGAATAACATGTGTGGGGGGAAAAAGAAAGGAGACCTCGGTCTGGTGGAGTCACAGCACCTTTGAAACGGCCCGTGGCGGTTTTCCAAAACACAAGGCCGGCGTACAGCAGAGTCCGCTCTTTGCTCATCAGCGCCTGCTTCCTGAACACGTGGCCGTTCTTGAGCTTGGTGGAGGTTTTGTTTTCCATCCTACTGAGGATCTCGAGCCATTTTTGGTTTTTCTCATATTCGCTGACTTTTAAATCCACTGCAGCAATCATATCTTTAATTAAGCAAAGAGCTTTGCACAAGTCTTTATGTTCTTCTGTTTTCTCTGCATGGGAAGAAGAACGAACTTGATACAATAAGTCAGAAGGCAATAAGAAAGGCAACTTTTTCCTACAGTTTTCAATACAGCTAAGTGGGTCATCCATATAGCAAAAATCTCATAATAAAAAGGCTGGATTAAACTGGAAAACCACGTTATCACCCTGCACCCCTCCTCCCAAAAGAACCGTTAAAAGATTTAATTAGAAAAGATTGCTTATCAGATGTGCTTTGGCTGAAACACCATGAAAACAGGAAGTCTGGTTTCTAGGGACTGGTTTGACCTTCCCCGCAGAGCAGTGAATGTCCTATATCCAGGGTGAGGCAGAAGTAGGCTTACAGTTGTCCATGCATGTGGAAGTCATACAGTGATTAATAAGTGACAGTGCAAAAATAAACCCTGTGCTTCACATACTCACAACTGTTAACTTGACTTTGCCCCACCATGTACGCTAACGTAGGCCTCCCTTCCACCTTCCCAAACACAGGTAATCAGGAAATCCCCACACCAAGTTCCTGCCAAATCCACCAAGCCACAGGCCCTCGTTAGCTCTTTCATAACCTGAACTTCAGGGTGCCCTGAACGGGCCCCAGACTCGGTCACTTTTCTGGATCCCTCCCTCCATACATTAATACTCAAAATTATACTTACAAGGGCATTAGCATGAAGATGAATGTATCAATGATACATAGTAAACATTTTTCAAACTAAAAGTATGGACCAAAGCACTGTGCCTAGTGGCTCATGCCAATCACCAAGTCCAATATTATTCTTTATTTTTTTAATTTTATTTTTTGCTTTTTTAGGGAGAAGGGAAGAGAGGGAGAAAGAGAGAGAGACATCATGTGTGAGAGGAACATGAACTAGTTGCCTTTACATGCCCCAACTGGACCTGGCCCCCAACCCAGGCATGTGCCCTGACCAGGAATTGAACCCATAACCCTTCAGTCTGCAGGCCGATGCTCAACCCACTGAGCCACACCAGCCAGAGCAAGTTGTTATTCTTCAAAAAGAATCGACTACCTCCTCTTTTTGTTTTTTACAACAAAATCTGTTTTATTTTTTATAATTTTTTAATGTTGTTCAAGTACAGCTGTCTCCATTTTCCTGCCATCACTTTCCCCACTCGCACCTCCCACCTCCCACCCTCAATCCTTCTCCCCTTTGGCTTTGTCCCTGGGCCCTTTGTACGTGTTCCTTGACGACACTCCCCCTTCTTTCCCTTTGTTATTTCCCTTCCCCCTCACTTCTGGTTTCTGTTTATTTATTTCAATGTCTCTGGTTATATTTTGCTTATTTGTTTTGTTGATTAGGTTACACTTATAAGTGAGATCATATGGTATTTGTCCCTCACCACCTGGCTTATTTCACTCAGCATAATGCTCTCCAGTTCCATACATGCTGTTGAGAAGTGTATGAGCTCCTTCTTTCTTTCTGCTGCATAGAATTCCATTGTATAAATGTACCACAGTTTTTTGATCCACTCATTCAATGACGGCACTTAGGTTGCTTCCACCACTCGGCTACTGTAAATTGTGCTGCTATGAACATTAGGGTGCATAGGTTCTTTCAAATTGGTGTTTCAGGATTCTTAAGGTGTAATCCCAGCAATGGAATTGCCAAGTCAAAAGGCAGATCCATTTTTAGTTTTTTGAGGAAATTCCATACTGTTTTCTACAGTGGCTGCACCAGTCTGCATTCCCACCAACAGTGCACTAGGGTTCCCTTTTCTCCACAACCTCTCCAGCACTTGTTTGTTGTTTGATTTGTTTATGATGGGCATTCTCACCAGTGTGAAGTGGTTTTAATTTGTATCTCTCTGATGGCTAGAGATGCTGAGCATCTTTTCATATGTCTCTGGGCCCTCTGTATGTCCTCCTTGGAGAAGTGTCTATTCAGGTCCTTTGACCATTTTTTAATTGGATTGCCTTCCTGGAGCAGAGACATGTGAGTTCTTTACATATTTGGAGATCGAATCCTTGTCTGAAGTATCACTGACAAACATAGTTTTCCATACGGTTTGTTCCCTTTTCATTTTGCTGATGTTTTCTTTAGCTGTGCAAAAGCTTTTAAATTTGATGAAGTCCCATTTGTTTATTCTTTCCTTTATGTCCCTTGCTGTAATGGACATATCACTGAAAATACTGTTGCATGAAATAACTGAGATTTTCCTGCCTGTCCTCTCTAGGATTTTTATGGTGTCATGACTTATATTTAAGTCTTTTATCCATCTTCAGTTTATGTGTATGGCCTAAATTGGTAGTCAAGTTTCATTTTTTTTCATGTAGCTGTCTAGATCTCCCAACACCATTTGTTGAAGAAGCTATTTTTACTCTATTTTATGCTCCCACTTATTTTATTGAATATTAATTGACTACAGAGACATGGGAATATCTCTGGGCTCTCTATTCTGTCCCACTGATGCGTCTGTTCTTATACCAGTACCAGACTGTTTTGATTACTGTGGCCTGATAATATAGATTGATATAAGGTATTGTGATCCCTCCTACTTTGTTCTTCTTTCTCAAAATTTCTGCAGCTATTCGGGACCCATTTGTTTATGGTTCCATATAAATTTTTGAATTGTTTGTTCTATATCTGTGAAATACATTGTTGGTATTTAATAGGGATTTTCCTGAATCTATAAATTGCTTTGGGTGGTATGAACATTTTGATTATATTAATTCTTCATTCAGTTGTGGAAGATTATATTTTTCTAGAAATTTGTCCATTTCACCCAGGTTTTCAAATTTCTTGGCATATAGTTGTTTGTAGTAGTTTCTTACAATCCTTGGTATTTCTGTGGTGTCAGTTGTAATTTCTCCTCTTTCACTTCTGGTTTTATTTATTTGGGTCTCTCCCTTTCTTTCTTGATGAGTTTGGTTAAAGGCTTATTGATTTTGTTTATCTTTTCAAAGAACTAGCTCCTGGATTTATGGATCTTTTGAATTATTCTTTTAGTCTGTATGTCATTTAATTCTTATCTGATTTTGATTATTTTTTTCCTTCTACTTACTCTGCATTTTATTTGTTGTTGTTCTTCCAGCTCTTGTAGATGTAGGTAGGGTTTAGGTTATTTATTTGAAATGTTTCTAGCTTTCTTAGGTGGGCCTGTATCCCTGTGAACTTCCCCATCAGCACTGTCTTCGCTGTGACCACCTCCTCCTATCTTTGGGTAATCTCAGCGAAATCTCTGGAGGACTTTCTGGAACAGCCTCCTGAAACTTTGGATGAAACTGACTGTAGCCATTTTCTATATTTGAGGGTTTAAAAAACCACCAACTTGATGTTTATTGAGGCAAATGGAACTGAAGGGGAAAGTTTCGGGAGATTAGAAGGTGTTAAAATATGAGAAAAATTGGCAGAGAATATAAAAGGTTCTCAAGAGCCTAGAGCAGCAGAAATAAACATGTAGGAATAGCAGTCAAGTGCAATGAGCAGAAGTCCTCCAAAGGGTCTAAGCTCTTCAAGTTCTAAATGTCTTAAATAGATATTTGAGGATCTGTCAGAAAGCCTCAAGGAACAGATCCAGACACTCCTCTGTAACAAGGACAATTCTCTCTTGCTGCCCAGGGAAGAATACTCCTCACTATTTTATTATACCTACTGGCCACTAAGCAGCAACCCTCAACAAGCTTCTTCTTTCTAAAGAGCACATTTCACAAATAGGAAAGTTGAATAGAGAAAGTCAAAGTTGAGTTTACAAGGTGACTTGGGGTAAGAACAAGAAAAGGCTCAAAGTCTTCTGACTTTCAGAGACAAATTAGTGTCTTACAATAGCTTGCTACTCAAAGTATAGGAGCACCAGCCCCACCTGGGAAGGTAAAAATACTTCCCTTGGGTTCTACCTCAGACCTACCAAATTGAAATCTACACCTAAACGAGATCCCCAGGTAATCCCTAATACAGTTTGAGAAGCACTACTGGGAATATTGTGAACCAATGTTCTCAGTAGCCAGAGAGAACTGGCCATTGGTAGAGTCTGTCCTAAGGAGGTGCTGTCCACAGCCACTACAACAGCTGCGTGTGAGGAGCCAAATGCCTTCATTATCATCTGGCACACAGTAGGCAACTGTTGTTCATTCCACCATGAATCTGTCCTGGAATGGTTCTTGGAGCTGACCTAACACAACTGACAAACTTTAGTCTTTGAAGTAATGTGTTAAGCTTAAGAGAATATGAAAATAATACAAACTGAAAGGCTTGATTGTGTTTTCTTCTTTTCTTGAAAACTAAATTTATGAGGCTTATCTCTGTAGATTGTGCTTGCATTTCCTTTTATGTGATACCAGAAGGAGCAATAAGAATGGGACACAAGGAACATATGCCACTCAGTTAGAGTCCTTCTCAGAAAAAGGATGTTAGAAGTTGACTTCCTTTAGACTTGGCATACAAGATCTCATTGATCTTACCTGGCATCTTAATGAAAATGGTGTCTTTTTCATTACCTCTAGGCCAACTGATCATCATAAAGATAATGAAATCAGGTTCCACTTCCTGAACACCTTTTTATATTAGGCAATTTCTGCACCCAGCATTTTCTGAGACAATCTCACTTAATCCTCACAACAATTCCACAAGATAAGGATTATTATTCTTCCATGGTAGTAGAGAAAACTGAGGCTCATTTAATTAACTTGTCCAACTAACAAATGGCAGAAACAAATATATGCAGCAGCAGTGCAAGTTTACACAATTCCAAACCCAAGTCCTTGTTAACATAACACACTACCCCCCGATGATAATAAACGAGATCAATAAGCTAGCTTGAGGAAGAGGCATTTTTATTTATTCATTCATTGAAGTGATATGTGTGTGTTTACTGATAGGTTATTCCATACCCACCACTGCAGTGGGCATTGAAGATCCGGTTGTGAACCAGACACAGGCCTTCTACATCCCTCCCAGAGCTTACAGTATGGCCATGTGCATTAATGGCTCCTTAAAGGGTGCCCGGATGTTACCCCCTGGAACTTAATAAATTGAAAGGGTCAAAAACAGCTCCTTCACAACGCACTGTCAACCTAATAATTCATTGCTTTGGAGAGCTGACGTTTGTTGCTAGGATCAACCACATGTGTTTCATCAGGCTGCTGGGGAGGTAGTAGGAAGACGAGGATGAAGAGGTATTAAGAAGGTCTGGACATGAAGAAACTGTAGAAGGGAAAGGCAAGGTCAAAGTCTGAAGAAGCCTGACTGGTTTGGGCTGCTTGGAGGACTTCAGGCTATTGGCCAAGCCCCATTACAAAAGATAACTTTTCAAAATAGGCCTTAATTCCTAAGGCTTTAACAGTTTTTCCATAATAAAAATCTCTATGAATCAGAGGCCACAAGCATTTCTAGCCCTTTACCACAGCTCAGGTGCATTTCAAACTAACAGAAGAGGCAAACGTTTGCCCCGGAAGCCACCACTCACCCTTTGTGTACTGCAGTATCCTCTCCACCAACACGGGGTACTTCGTGATGCGCTGCGTCACTAGCAGGATGCATTCTGGAATTCCTCGACGTCGAGCCAAAAGATTACTATTTCGGAGCTTTAAAAATATAGATACATTTTTTTATATTCACAAACTCTATCTGTATTTTCTTTATAGGAGTGAATTTAATAATACAAAAAACCTGTGACAGCACACCTAGTCAGACACAACACAACACACACTATCACTAATCAAAACGATGCATGGTCATGACATTGTACCCTGTCATTTACTTCAATAACCCAACTTTCCAAGATTTCAAGAAGTTTTACATCACTCCAATGTATTTGTAGTTAATTCCAAAACTGAGTAAATTCTAATACTTGTAAGTGGTAGATTCATAAACAGCAAAACTTTCCGAAAATGCTCAGAAATCAAAGTTAGATTTTGAGTATGAGTTTCCAGTTAACTGCATTTTTCCAACACCTCTTCCTCTCTGTGTGTTACTATTCATCACAGAAGTTCCCTCTAGTTGGGGCAACTTCTTCCTAAAAGTCTCAAAGCATTATTTAAGTCTTCAATCTATGTATGTAGGGAGGAAAAAAGGAGGTGAATCTGTTAGAATTGTTTAAATGGTAGATTAAAAAAATTTTAAATCCATGAAATGCTAAAAGACAAATATCTTTTTAAAATAAATAAGATACAAAAAAGGGAAAGGGAATATTTAAGTTAAAAAAGATTAAAAAAGATATAACCCCGTTATATAATTGTGAACCTTGGGGAAATCCTGATTTAAATAATTCAATTTTATGAAATAATTGGGAAAATTTGCACACTGGCCAGCTGCTGGAAAATGTTAAAAAATTAGTGTTAATTCATCTAAGTGTGATAATATTATAATTTTTTAAAACATACACTGTTTAGAAATGAATATGAAATGATATTTGGATTTGCTTCAAACTAATCCTGTGCAGGCAGAAGGATCCTGTCTCTATTTTCACTGATTCTTCTGATTTATAATTTGTCAGGGCATGAAACAGCTCCACAGGATATCAGAAAAATGCTCATGAATGTGGAGGACATGACTTCACAAATATAAGTATAAAAGAAAACAATGTGGAAGAAATATTTTACTAATACAGAAAATAAGGACTTTCCATTTTGGCCACAAACCTACTAGTATTTCCTTCTCCTTCCCCTGAAAAACAGCACCAGGACCTAGAAGTGAAACTTAGCTCAGGTAGGAACTAAGCGTGAGCCGTTTTCCCACCCCGGTTTACTGCTGCGCAACAGTTTGAAAATACTTGCCTTAATAAAATTCTGAAACTTCTTATTCTGCTGGAGTTCTTTAAATAGGCTAACAGCTTCTTTGTGATGGCTACAGAATTCTCCATATATTTTCTTCATCTTATTTGCATTTTCTTCTGAAAACTGAAAACAACAGTTCAGTGATGGTTTATAAATGGAGTCATGTCTACACACTAAATGGAAAATTTGCTTTTCATATATTTCTATACATCTTTTGCAAATAAAGAATAAACATCATGGTTTCCAAAGCTCAATGCTGATGAGCGGATGTTAAGATAATTGCCTATTTATTAATCTACAAATAGACAATAATATCTGTATGCTCTGTCTGTCTATTAATGGGCCCGCTTCTTAGCAATATTGTGTTTTATAAAAGCAGCTCATGTTGTTTTCCTGGTCTTTTCATGGCATGTGAGCAAATAAACTATTCACACTACCAAAAAAAAGAACAAACGTCATGGACCTTCTAAACACAATCACGTCTCTTCCCCAAATACCTTTCAACCTAAAATAGAAGGAAGTAATCTAGAGGTAAAGGGAAGACAGCAACCTAATATGATTATGCTATATTGAACTAGTTCAATCATCATATAGCCAAATGAAAAACATTTGATATATTTTATTCTTTTTTAGTGTCTGTGCAACTTTTTCATTTCAGTTTACAGTTTGAATACTCATATAGATTGAAGAACAGGTTATGTGGGGACCCTTGGGAGTCCTTAGGACGGGCAGTCTCTGGCTGGCATTTACCCTGGCTGCCTGATCTCGTGCATGGCCTCAGCTCTCAGTCGGGAATTTGATCTCCATCAGCACATCACAAATGGATCAAGAGGCAGGGAACCATTAGCCAAGATAAAAGAGAAAGATGAATAACTAAGATGCCAATGATAACCAATAGAGAGATGTAGAGATGGGGAGTAGATGTTTCAATAAGCTCGGCCCATAACAAAATCTCCGCCTCCCAGGCATGGACTCCGGGCCGTGACGGTAACAGGTCTGCACCACTCCTGAAATGAGCCCAGGTTTGTCTCAGAGATGCTGGTAAGGCGATCACTGCCCCCCAGGGAGCACTGCTTATTGGAGAGCCATCACCGTAAGAAATTTAGGTAGAACTTTCTTAAGAGGGTTTCTTTCTGGCTGTGACTGCTGGTTGCGGAGGTGACAGGGCAGTGGTCCACTCACGTGCTCTGACACTGCAGAGCCAGCCAATGACTAGTGAAAGCTCTTGGGCATCAGCCATGCAAACCAACATCAAATAGAGAAAACCAATCCAAACCATCTGTCAATCAACATGAAATCAATCTGGTTCTCCATAAGCTTTTAACACTAGAGAGAGCCTGCACACCTTTCGGTTTTCGAGGTTAGGGACTTTAAACCTCTCTTACCTGTTGTACTAGAATATCTCCAATTCGGTTAATGACAAAATTCCTGTCGCTGTCAGCACAGGACTCCTGCCTCCGCTCCTTCATGCTATAGAAGAAATGCCTATGGATCTCGAGTAACTCATCTAAACAGGGGAAGATTTTATCCACAGTGCTGTGGTCAAGCTGCAGCTCCTCTTTCATGCCTTTCCTGAAGACCTCCGACATGATGAGCAGGGTCTGGATGTGATGCATTTCTGTTTGCATTAGCTCTGAAACATGAGCAGAAACAAGCTTTTAAACACAACGATCCTTGCTGACCTACAATAGTAGCTAAACACTGCAGGTTGCACCAATTAAAAAGAGGAAATGTTTAAACATAACCTCTTCCCACTAGAAAAGCATCAATTAAACATTAATGTAAGCTTAAACTAGCTGACATTTTTTTTCAGATATGAGGATACATATAAGTCAAGTCCAATACAGTAGAATCTGATGTACCAGGAATTCTCGTAACACAACTAGCTAGCATCTTTATGTAGCTTCAGCCAGGCACCGGGTCTTACTCTCCCTTAAGGGTTCTACACAATAAACTTAGTTTGTTTGGATCTTTCCGTTTAGCTTTTGGGGTTTTTGTTTGTTTGTTTGTTTTATTTTTTAATTTTTTGCATTGAGTAGGAATACAATTAACTTGGTGAATTAAATTGAATTAAATACCATAAGTTCCTCAAAGCAGACAGCGGTAGGCCCTTCCTATTCCTGGATCTGCGTCTAAAATCCCACCATCTCCAGGTGAAAACAGTGTCTTGTGATCAAGGGACATCTTCAACGAAGTAAGAAGCCAGCCCATAGAATGGGAGAAAATACTTACAAATTATACATATAATAAGGGACTTATGTCCAGAATATATTAAGAACTCTCACAACAACAGAGATCCACTTCAAGAATAGGGAAAAAAAGGCAAAATATCTGAACAGATCTTTCTTCAAAGAGAGATACAAGTGGCCAATAACCATGTCCTTAGCTATCCAGGAAACACAACCAAACCACAGAGAGAACCCTCTTCACACACCCTAGAATGACTGTACTAAAAAGATGGACAGTGAGGAAGCGCGGGTGAGGTGAAGGTGTGGAGAATCAGACCCCCGCGCACGGTCAGTGGGTGTGTCAAACAGCGCAGCTGCTCTGGGAGATGGCCTGGTAGTTCCTCAAAAGTTACCACATGCCCCCAACGTGGAGACAGCCCCAAAGATCCATCAACTAATGACTGGATGAACAGAATGTGATATATTTATATGAAGAAATATTTAGCTATGAAAAGGGACAGAGACTGACACATACTACAACATGAAACTTCAAAACCTGATGCTAAGTGAAAACGGTCAGTCACAAAGAGCCCCACAGTGTAAGATGCCATTTGTATACAACACGTCCGGAGTAAGCAAAGCCATAGAAACAGACAGTCGATCAGCAGTTGCCCCGGGGCCGGGGGGTGAGAAATGGGAGTGACTGCTCGCAGCTGCCGCTCTCTTCTCAGAGTGACAAAAACGCTCTGGAGTTGGACGGCACCGGAGGGCGGCACGACTTCTGAGTGTACTACAAACCATCCAGTTCCTGTACTTTCTGAGTATACTACAAACCATCCAATTCCTGTACTTTCTGAGTATACTACAAACCATCCAGTTCCTGTACTTTCTGAGTATTACTACAAACCATCCAATTCACTATATAAAGGGGGCAACTTAATGGTACGTGCGTTAAATCTCAATTTTCAAAATGCCATATTTGCATTCAGGCATACTTGTTTTATTGTGCATGTATGGTGGATTGAAGGCGAGACTCTCCGCCCACAAAAAAAAAAAGCGTGAGTCACTTCATTGTGACCCTCGCTTTCTTTGTGAGGGTCGGGGACAGGACCAGACATATCTCCAAGGTCTGTCTACACATAGGATCTGTTAAAACTAAGAGCTAGTCTTATCTTTCACATAGGGTGTCTTCTTGGAGCCACTATTTAGCATCTACTTTGCACCTGAAAAACTTTTAAACCTTGTTTTTGCCCAGCTAGTGCATGATCGAACTCCCCCGGACGCAGACTGCCTCCGCCCCGCGTAGCAGGCAGCGGTCACAGGCACGGAGTCGGCTCCACCTGCGGGAGCGCGGCTTCGTCACGCACGGTCCTGGCCCCGGTGCTGCCGGCCCCGCTGCTGTCTACGTGAGCCGGCCACCTACAGGGTCATTTACGCATCAGCCCTGTCCGTCCTACATCACCCACGTGCAACTTCACTGAGACTCGTTTAATGGCAGAGCTGGAAGTGTGCAGGTCACAGCTAAGAACACGTGAAAAGGGTATGAGAAATAAACTCTGCTTTGTACTGGGTACATACAGTGCCTCACTTCATTCTCACTACATTTTAAACCCAAGTATCATTATCCCCACTTTACAGAGGGAGAAACTGAGGTCCAGGTGGGTTGAACAACTTGTCTGAGGTCAGGTCACTAGAAAATGGCAGAAGTGGGATTCGAACCCAGGTCTCAATGTCTCAGATTCTAGGTTTCTTCCTCCATCGGGCACTGCTTCACCCCGAGGAGCATATCTGAAAAACTTACCAAAAATGACATCCTGCCTTTTGATGACATCCTTGTCCTGCCTACTGCAAAACGAGGGGTCCACCACGAGACTCCAAGATTCTGCTTCGAACTCCTGGGCATCACTGCTGAGGTCACTCCACAGAGAAGAATCCATGACATCTAAAGTGTTTTTAGAAAAGTCCGAAGTAGAGTAACACGTAAAACACAAACAGACCTACACGAGTCCCCGTGTTTATGGATTCATCACACTAAATAAACGTCCTACGGACATTGAAACCACTAAGCAAAATACTATTGATATGAAGATGAAACATCTGAAAACAAGACTGCACTCATAAAAGCAAAAGATAATCAGGTATTTATATAGTGATTGTGTATATGCCAAAAAAGGACATTTGAAGATTCTTTTGTTTGTTTACTTTGGCTTGCTCTATTTTGGATTTACTTTTGGTCACCTTCAGAGTCTACAGTGTGCTTACACAATCTCAAACACACTGATTTCTTCTGCCCTGGGCTATTTGGCACTCTTTACTCAAATCCAAAATTTTGTGCTTGTCCACTTGATTTGCTCTGCACTTGGCTTGCTGTCCTTAACAGAAACATGAAGCACGATGAGGACTCAAGTCACATGTGAGTACAGACTTTTCTGACGGGATTTGATAACACGCTCACACTCACACACAACACACTTCCTTCAGGAAAACTAAATTCTATTTTTCCAAACAGCACTACTGAGAATGATTCCAGCTCAGAGCAATAAAATGATATGACAACAAATATAAAGGGTTAAGTGCAAAATAGAGACATTCTTGGGGCAAAGTTCACTCCTTTCTCTTGTCACTATTCTCCTTTCGTTCAGTTTTCTTTCATTTATTGATACAACTTGGATACAACAAGCAACTCCCCAGATTAAGTCCCAGCCTACAAAATATGCTCTTTAAAAATGCTTTTACTCCCCTAGAAGTAGTAGGCAATGGATGGGGATAAATATCTCAGAGTTCCAAGTAGGTCTTTTTTTAACTAACTGAAATATATATTTTTAATATGTAATTCTATTTCAATTCATTAACAGCTGTAAAGCCTCTTGAAAGAATAACAAACATATTGTGTATATCATTCTCTTCATTATGCTTATGACATGTGGCCATTAAAAACATCGTATTTCCTTGGTCACTCCATAGAAGTCTTCATTGGGCTAAATTTTCTTTTTTTTTTTTAAATCAGAAGAAGCCATACCAAGAGATACCATGAACCAGAATTCTTTTTAAAAGAACAAAGAATATTTTTCAACCTTATGTCCTTCAGACAACTTTCCTTTTGACAAATGCTCACGGAAACACACATACATGCAAGCACAACTTTTTCTCACCTTCCATTAAGAAGGAATCCGTGGAGGGAGACGAGCCCATGGACTGGAAAAGCTCATCGGAATGAGACCTGTTTCTCCAGGGGTTCCCGTCAGTCTCGGCCTCCGGGGGTGCCCCTGACCTCCTGAAGTTGGAGGGAGGGGCGGGGGAGAGTTAGCCTACAGCGAGTGGCTCCGAGATGTGAGGATGTGAAACAGCGCTGAGCCTTACCTGTCCAAGGTGGTGCCCGGAACGCTTCTGGACAATGAATGGACCTGCCCCACAGCGTCCTTCCTCCCGGGGGGCAATCCAATCGGCATGGAGGAAGAAGGGTGCAAGGAGAGACCAGGCAGTGGGACGTCTCTAAATGAAGAATCTGGAAATCAGAATGGATGCTTCATGTGTTTTCATAGATGGCAGTAATTACAACAAGTACAGGTAGTCAGTCGCCCAAAAGCCAGAAAGCTGAACACTCAAACGGCCTCTTCTAATGTATCCCATGCTCAGCCCTGAAGCCGGTCTCCCCGCCACATCCCAACTCGTGCTTCAAACGTCCCTCCCATTCCACAGCCTCTCCTGAGAGCCAGGCTGCAGGCCTACCCCAGCACGTCCGCTTGGGGACTGTGGGTGGCTGGGGTTATACACACACAAACAAGAAAATGGAACCGGGAAACACAGGGACGGATCTCTCATAAACCACTGCTTGCACTCCTTACAGCTGGCTTCACACAGGTGCAACGTGTTATTAGCACCACTGCTACAATGCATATTGTGTGTATAAACACACACACGCACACACAGAGCGTGTCAATGGATTGGAATGATGCTGGGAGTCTGTTTCCTTATGGTCTAAGAATTTCAGGCAAATAAAACCTTCAAGCCAAGCTGGGCTCACGCTCTCACATACTGAAAACTAAGTGGTGCTTCAATACCTCTTTGGCCAGCTCTAAAATTCGATGGGCATCCATGAATTTATATTTGGTGTGTACTGTCACAACTCCCAGAAAATCCTCCTGTCCTATTATGTGGAAATGCTTACACGGAACTCTGGGACATTACTAGGAATTCGACGTGTATGCTTTAACTGTGTTCTCATGCCTCCCAAGTAAAGAGAGGCAGTAGGTGGCATTTTATTAATTCTAAGAATCTTTTATTTTCATGTTTAACCTGATGAAACTGAGAAGTACCTTACAACTGAGGTCAAAGGGACTCCTGGTATCAGAGCAGAGGGGTCACATTTGTAGGCACCGCATGAGCTCAGCCATGTGCAGCGTCACCCCCAGCCTCCCTCACCATGAGTCTGCACACCTCACTGTCCCCTCGTCCAAGTGGTTCTAAAACCACTGGTCACACTTTGTTACAGCTTTGGAACAAAAAGGACCACAAACTTAAAATGCCTGCCAACAACATAATTTGAGCCAGAGGAAACTGCAAAATCTCTCACAACAAATCAAAGGCTTTTGAACCAGGACTGGTTCTTGCATGCAATGTAAAGACCCGTCAGAGGCTGCAATTATGTTCTTGAGAAATGTTTTAACTTCAGCCACATGTAACTCAAGGCAAAAACAGAGCCACCAAATCTAGCCATGTGCAGACAAAATCTGGACATGCCCTGAAACTCCACTGCCACTCAGAGGAGCTAATGACCTCATAGCCTCAAGCACAACTAGTAAAAAGTGCCAGGTTCTCATGAAAATGGACAATGGAGAATGATAATCCATGGATTCCAAATGTGAAGATTCTCCCTCCAACTTTGTTATTGTTAAGAAGTGTGTGTTATGAACTTGTGTGGATAAATATGTGCTACTGCAAGAAAAACATAAAATTATGTGAATTTCATGTAGTGTTTCTCTTTCTCCCTAAAAGATCATTAAATCAGTGGTGTATATTATACTGGATCACATTCTGGAATTGAGGCAAAATCATAATACCTCCTCCATATAGTACTACTGAATATAAAAGATCGTAACCACTATGCTGTATATCTGAAACTAATAGAGGATAATAATAAATATAAATTGTAATTGAAAATTTACAAAAAGATCACACAGCAATACAGTACCAGGGCTATTAGGTTGCCACAGAAGTTTATGCCATTCCTGACCACTTTGCATAACTAATAATTATACCAAGTATATGTTACGAAAGAAGAAATAATTGGGCAAATGAGAAAACAACAGGAGGGGCTATTTTACACTGGAAAAATCTGTGGTATGTATGAAACTGAGAAAGTTCTTGTTTTCCACATCACTTACTTCCAAGGACGGTCTGTGGTTTGTTCTTGTTATATTTTTCTTGGAATTTCTGGTAAAGAACATCAGAAACGCATAAAATAAGATTAAAGCTCCAATGGACTACAAGAATGCCCACACAGTACACACAATAGGATTCTTATCTACATAATTTTCATTGCTATTTCATTTCTAAAAGGAATTCAAAGCAAAAGACATTAAATTCAACAGAGAAAAATGTCGCAATAATGAGATGCACAAGTTACAATGAACGTGTGTCTCCCGAACACATGTCTCATGAATGGCCCAGCTTATTAAAAGCCTGGAGGAACGAGAAATCTCTAGCCTGTGAGCACAGGCGCAGGCTGAAAGGGGAGCTTCAACTAGCTTTGACTTTCCCCTACTGGTTTCTCTCTACTCCTGGCTACTTCTCCTGCTTAGAGGACACAACTCTGAGCATTGAGACCTCGGCTCTGTGACCTGACGCAGTGTGCTGCAGCTGAAGGTCATCATGTTCACTCACACACATTTCTGACATGTCTATAGAGTGGGAAGGAAAGGAATAGAAGGACAGATGCCTTCATTCCTCAGCCCACCCCCAAACACAGAGGACTTTCCTCCAGTCCCATGAGCCTCCCGGTACAATCCCGGGCCCAGCAGCATCTCCAAGGAGCTTGTTAAACATGCAAATTCTTGGGCCCTGCCCAGATCTACCGGATCAGAAATTCTGGAAATGGGGCACAGAAATCTGTGTTTTAACAAGTCCTGCAGGTGATTCTGATGTTTCGGCTTTACTGCTCTGGACTTCACTTACATAAGCTGAGGGGGTCAAACTGGTAAACCAAGTAGGTTCCAACAGACAGGCTGACCCACCATCCTGCGCAACACAGGTGGCCAGCCCGGCGCTCTCGCTCTGGAATAACCATACACTGACAGCAGGTGTTATTTTGTCGCCACAGTGGTTGTTTTAGAAATAACTCTAGACACTAATAGGGGAATAACAATCTAAACAACCAAGTTAGACAGAAACATGCATATTCACAAGGGACAGAAGTTACCTTGGGACATGGGGGCATGGCGTCTCTACAACCTTTGTGCACATTTGCATTGCAGTCTGGAACAAAAGGAAAAGAGAGAAAAGCACCTGTCTTATTCAAGTTACTCAGGAATGAGTAAGACTACATCAAGGTTTTTACTGGCCATTATAAAAACAGGGCATTCACATGAAAATATTTGGACAATTTAAAGAAAAGATATTAAATGACATGTAGCCCCACCACTCAAGCACAAGTACACTGTTAATAGTTTAATTTCCTTGGAGACGTTGCTCCCCTTTTGCACAGGAAGTTATCAATCATGACCCCTGGAGTTAAGCACGACGTACACTTCTGTGTCTGCCTGCGAGCTCATTTACTGTAACATGCCTAGACTGTAAGGAATTTCTGACGTCTGACTGGTAGCAGCTGCCACTCCCAGGCAAAATGCCTATGGAAGTAGAAAGAAAGAAAAACTCACAACTCCGCTGAAAAAATATATATCCAGTTCCAACAGACATTCTTGGTATAGGTAGCCAAGTTAAAAGGGAAGAGTTAGTGGCTTGCCTGTGTTTTACTTCATGAAACCATGTGGCCTCGTTTCACTGGAAGAAGTAAGGGAACACTCAGCCTGCCCCTTTCTGCCCACTGGCTCAGAGACCCACGCTGTCGCCACAGAAAACTGCCCCAGCACATGGAATGCTGTCTGCTGGCTGCTGTCTTCTTGCCCTCACTCCCCTCCCACTCGCCAGGACCACCCTGCCCCACCCGCCTTCCCATGCTGTGCGTGGATGGCGGAACCTTTGGCTTCTCCGAAGCCTCATTAGAAAGAATTCTTCCACAGGGGTAGACAGTCCCACTTAGGTCCATCAAAGCCACACGAAAAGAAGTGCCCCTTGAGCTGGCCAGGTGGTTCAATCGGTTGGAGCACTGTCCAAGCACCGAAAGGCTGTGAGTCTGATTCCTGGTCAGGGCACATACCTAGGTTGCGGGTTCAATGCCTGGACCGGGGTACGCATGGAGGCAGTGAATCAATATTTCTCTCTCTTCGTCTCTCTTTCGCAAATCAATTTTTTTTAAAGAGGGAGGGAGGGAGGGAGGGAGGGAGGGAGGGAAGGAAGGAAGGAAGGAAGGAAGGAAGGAAGGAAGGAAGGAAGGAAGGAAGGAAGGAAGGAAGGAAGGAAGGAAGGAAGGAAGGAAGGTCCATCCCATAAGCCACTATGCAGAGATCTACACCCAACGCCCCTCCCACCTGTAGGTGTGCAGAGGACTTTGAACTAACACTGCAATGGCCCAGGAGCAGAGCCCAGGCTGACCCACAAACTGGTCCTGCTGGCAAACATGGAAATTGAATAGCTCTCTTCTCACTCCCGAACAAGCAAATAAATAAAGAAAAAAAGGATCTATGAGCTACCACAGAACAAAGTTATACTGTAAACAAATCAGCAGAGTGAGCTGCAGAATACTATTAAATCCAGAAATAGAGAAAAATGTAGGTATTTTAAATGCATTCTCCCAAAGAGACATGAAATATACATAGGATAGGACCAAAAGATGTGAGAACAGGCCAACAAGATGAGAGGGAGACTGAGCTCTGCGAGATGAGAGAGGGCTGGCTGCAAGGAAGGAGAAAGGTCAAGAGCAGAACTTAAACCCAAGTGTGAAGAATCAATGTGACAAAAACATCAAAGCAGCACTCTGAAATTAAACTTGAAAGATTTCCTCCAGAATGTGGAGAAAAGAAGGGTGTAATTTTAAAATAAAAGGTGCCATACAAAATAGACAGATAACAGTGCTCACACCTCACCCAGGATAAAATCTGAAAAATTAGATCAGAAGCAATAGTCAAAGTGACAACTGACAGGAACATTTTTAAAGCTAACAAAGAACCTCCTCCCCGGAAAGCAGATCAAAAGATCTCACTATTTCCTAGAAAAAAAATAATTAAATGACACCTATTCTATAAAAATGATATCCATATGATTAAAAAATTAAAAGTCCTCCAGCAGGCAAAGCAAGCTAGCAACAAAGGAATAAGGTCAGGCAGGCCCGAACTTCTCCACTGTAATACTGAGTGCTCAGACAGAACGGACCGGGCTTGACAGAGCATCAAGAGAAAAACTTTTCGGCCAAGAACGTACCCAGATACATTGATTTTCTGGTGTGAGAAGGGCAAAATGCACCCTTAGATACACAAGGTTTCAAAAAACAAACCACTCCACTAACCTTCTTAAAAAAGGTATTAAGAGCAGAAGAAAAATTAAGAGTTCAGAAATAAATCAGATTTTTTTAAAAAGGAGAAAAAAATGAGCACTGGAACCAGCTAAACAAAGAACCATATCTTAAAAATTATAAGTAGAGACACAGAGCTGAATACAAATATCAAGTTGTTCTTGCAATAGTAAGCTACTTTTGAAATATTACACATAGAATATGAAAGTAATACTTTAATGATGAATTTAGATACTAACAGAGGGTAGGGAAAAAGGGTAAATGTAAGGGAAACAAAAGAGTATGTAATTATAAGCCTTACAGAACCTTAAAGTTATTATTAATAGATAGTAAAAGAGCATATCATCTTGCCCAATCTCTAAAGGAGAGAAAAGCAAATAGCCAAACCAGACATCAAGGAAAATAGCATAAAACTATAAAATATGATAGCTATAAAATTAAATGTAAATTAGAAAAAAATCACTTAAAACAAGAATTCTCAGTTACATTGCAAAGTACCTATAACCTAAATTGAAGACACACCAAATTATAAACAAAGAATTAGTTCAGGAAAAGACAAAGGAAAGCAAGAGGAATATTAATTATGAACAAAGTAAAATTCAGTGCAAAGGGCATTTAATGGCATTATAGGGGTAATTTTATGTTGATGAAAGTTAACATGCAATGAAGGTGTGATCTGAGCTTGAGTGCACCAAATAACCCGAATATAAGCAGTGAAATCTATTTATGAACAAACAAAATATCATAGAAATACAATTTCAGTGAAAAACTAGCAACTCCAGCTTTAACAAAGAAAAATACACCAGGAATTTAAATATTTACATCATGTTTTGTTTCACATCATATTTTTAAGATTAAAAATATTAACTTTCACAATTGGAAACAAAAATACATCCCTGAAAAAGGATAATTTATTTAAAAAAGCAGAGATGGGACATGTCATGTTCTCTTATCCAATGTGAAAAAAAATTTAATGTCAATATCAAGTTTAAAGTGAAGGGATTAGCCAAAGAGTATACATGCATGACCCACGGACAAAGACGACAGTGTGGGCTATCTGAGGTGGCCGGGGCTGAGTGGAGGAGGCAAAGGGGGGGGGGGGACAGGACAACTGTAATAGCATAAACAATAAAATATAATTTAATTTTTTTTAAATACCGTTTAAAACTCCAAATACTCCCCTACCCTTAAAACTGTAAATCTTAAAACTTCTTCTAAAAAAACCTATGGTTTAAAGAGGGTATCAAATGTATATTCACATTGATTCTAGAACTTAATCTAAGGCAATAATCAAAGATGTGGACAGTTATTTGTGCACAAGAATTGTCATTGCAACATTATACTGGGAGAAACTTAAATGTATATTAAGTGAAAATTAAACATGTGATAGCATCATCAAATAAAACACAGCATAACAAGTTGACTTTTTTTATTAGCAGGAACTCCTTCAAAATATTAACAGCAATATTCTCTAGGTGGTAAAATTTGGGGTAATTTTAAGGTTTTCCTTAAGCCTGTATCTTCTATGAATTAATTCTATTCCATTTTTAAAAAGTTAATGACTACTTTAAAAACTAAACATATCCCATGCACTTCCAGCAATTTCCACCTTCCGTGACCAACTCAGCATAAACCAACCTACTCTGTATTACAGAACTTTCCTTTTCAGTGACCCTCAACTCCCTGTGCTATGTTAACTACATGTGAGTATCTAACTACACATTATGAATTACATATTTAACTACGGATGAGTAGGGCCCAGCTTGATGACAGCTACTGTAGGGGATATAAAAGAACTGCATGATGATAGTGCCCAAAGAAGCTGAAGTCTATTTTAGTAGTTACAAACAAAAAAGGTTGTGCACAACCCAGTATGAAACAGAATAGGAAAAACAGGTCATTAACATCATGGGCAGGGATTTAGGACCCAGCGGTCAGGGAAGACCTCCAAAAGGAGAAATGTGGACTGAAGCAGAGAAGAAAAATGAAAAGAAGGGAGACTGTTATCTAAGTAAAGGAACAGAGGCAGGAAAAGCCACACTCGAGGACAGCAGGCCACGCATGCCCTCTGGTTGGAAGGCAGAAAGGGAACTAACCGGAGGACCAGTCAGCAGGACACAGACGGAGAAGCAAATGCATCTGAAGAGCTTGGCTCAGTCCAGTAAACACAAATGAGAGAAGCGCTGAAGAGTATGTGGGCTGATGAAAGTGGTGTGTTACAAGACCAACGTGGCAAGTGTATTTGGAATAAACTGTAAGTGAAAATACTTGGAGAGACAAACTACTGCAATTTGCACCTGAGCAGTTCCAGGGAGTCAGGAACTGCAGGAGTGACCAAACAACATGGATGGGGGCTCCAAAGGCAGGAGGAGCCACGTTGCCCAAGGTCCGAGCTGGTACTGTTAGTGTGGGAAGAGGGCAACCTCTTGCATGTGCATTTGGAGGACAGTTTTGGCCGCGCTGCTCTGAGAGTCACGAAATCTCTGGGTGGTGCTGCCCACAGAGAGGGGCGCTCTGAGCCAGAGTGACTGGGACCGTCCTGGTTGATCATCCCCGTAGTTCTTCCATGTTGCCCAAAGTACCACAAATGACATGACTGCTCAGCCTCTCTAGGCAACTAGAAATACTGAAGTAGAAGGTAAGAGATAGAGGGTTAGGGTTAGGGCTTTTTTTAAGTAGTTAAGGCAGAGACCAAAATGCAGACGGTTAAGGAAAAAGTGGCAGAGGCAGGCATTAGCGCAGTGAGTGGAGATCACCCCACTGAAGGGGTGTGTCTTAAAATCAGGGGGAAGGTCATGGATGGAACTGGGGGAACAGTTGCAGGGATTTAGCCAGAAGTGATCCATAACAATGCTAACAGCAAATCTTTAAGAAATCAAGTCTCCAAGAAAAGCAAAGTTCAAGCACGCACAGAGCTGGTGTTATTAAAGACAGTGTCACTGTTAGAAGAAAATGCAATGTGCCTTTAATGCCACGTGTGGACTGCATTCTCATGAGATGTACAACTATTAACATGTTCAATTTTAATTGAATCGTTTCATATCAATTCAAAGAAGAGTTTACATGGAACCTTCCCCTGCTCTTTTTTTCTCTTTGTGCCCCCATCACATCCCCAGTTGGCCCCCAAAATCTGACCACCAACAAATACTATCAAAGGCATTTCACCTGCCTGAGCCTGAATTCTTTTGCTCTGTATTATTCTTCCACTCCATAAATAGTTACGAAGTCCCTGCTATGCACAAGGCATGGGTCTGGGCACTGACATACAGCAGAGAGCAAAATCAACAGATGAAAAGCCAAGCCTCATAGAATGTATAGTCTGGTGAAGGAGACAGACAATAAAATCAATACATAAAATGTACAGTAAGTTAACAGTGTTAAATGCCATGGGGTGGGGAGCAGGAAAGGGGGACAGAATGAGGCAAGCACAGGACGGTCGGGACAGGCCTGACTGAGCAGCTGTTACCTGAGCGGACCTGAAGCAGGGGAGGGGCGATCCTTACAGGTCTGGGGGTGGGGAGGAAGCACTGCAGACAGAAGGAACGGCCAGCAAAGGGCCTATGGAAAGAGCATGCCTGACATGTCTGAAGGACAGCAGAGAACTCCCAGGGCCCGGAGCTGAGGGAGCAAGGGGGGGAGAAGACAAGGGGACAGGTGGTGGGGGCCTCACAACCACTGGCAGAGCACTAGCTTTCACTTGGGGGGGGGGGACGATGGTAGGAAGCCCCTGGAGGGTTTGGAACACAGGGTCACGTGCCTTAGCAAGCTCACTCAGGCCAATGCTTTGAAAATAGACTCAGGGGTAAAAGCACAGGGAAGGGAAACCAATTACAAACTACTGAAACACTGGCTTTGGGCGAGGATGATAACAGTGCCGGGAGTAAGAAGTGACTGGCTTTTCTATGTACTTTCAAGATACAGCCAATAAGATTGCTGCAGAATTGGATGTTGAATGTGAGAAAGAGGCACACAGAAATCTTCCAAGACTTTTGACTGCAGTGCCTGGCTGGAATGATGAGGACATCATTAAAGAGGAAAGTTGGCTTACAGGCGGGCACAGATGGGGAGCACAGAGCTCCGTTTTGGACATATAACATCTAAGAACTTTCTGGCCACCCACACGGAAACTTTAAGGTGGCAGTGAGGTGCACAAGCCTGGGTTCTAGGGGGTGTGGATGAAAAGTTCTGACTCGAACCATCACGTGTCAGTGCTTGGCAAGTTGTTAAACCACCTGTGCAGCCCCCAAAACACAAGTCCACTGAACACGCTGAGCAATGACCCTGTTCTCAGGGACCTCACTGGCTGTGGAGGCAAAGCACAAAGACGACACACACAAGGCCCAAGAACTTACTGGAACACTGAAGCGACTCTTTCCCCAGGAGTGTTTTGTCACAAACCAAACACTGTAGAACCCCAGAGAATGTTCCAGGGACAAATTGGTGTCGACTCAGTTTCTCCTTGTCTTTGGCATCCTTGCTTTTTGTCTTCAGACAAATCCATAGCAGAAAAATGGGGAAAAATGAGAAAAGAGAAATGCTGAGAGCCAACCCATCAGAGAAAAGTCATACAAACAGTCTCCACATTTTCTATCAGAGCAGAAGGACTTGACACCAAAGGGCGCAATAATGCCAAAATGTAACGTCACTCAGATGCAGTTGTCTCTGCCAAAGGCAGCCCAGTGGTTTTCCACCCATGCACCATAAGAATTTTTGAAACATGCTATACCTGACTGTTTAGTCAGAGGCTCTGAGCTCGTTCTGCTTAGATCATCGAATTAAAAAGTGACAACAGCCAACACAACAATAGCCATCCACTGTGAGTGAATCAAAATTAACCTGTTTTTTGTCAGATCAGCAAAAAGACATATTTTTTGGTGTGCTGCAAAATTTTAATAATTAGTATGTATGCCATGAGATGAAAATGGTTGAAAATTGCTGACTTAGACAATATTCCATAAAAACATTAAGGTTTCCAAATATGTATATATAGAGTCTGAGGTAAGTGATTTTAAAGGAGGGGAAACCACACTGATGAGTGAGAAACTGAGTCGCTTATGTTTTACTGCTGAGAGGCACGAAACCATAACTACCTTAGATTTATTCCGAGGGCTCGTCATCCTGTTCATGATGAAGCTGAAAGTTCGGCTCACTTTGTACTTTTCAGAATCTGATTTGGCAGGAATGATATATTTATCCCATTCTTCTTCCGGAATTCTACAAAAACAGAATCTGTTATCATGTTTTCTAAGACTTAAAGAGGGAGAAACATACAACATATTCAAGTTGTGTATACACATATACACATATTTTAGTACATGTTTTATGCATGTATATTTATATGTACATTTTTATACATGTATATTTACATGCATTGTTCAGGTTTTAATGGTTATTCTAAGATAAAGATAGAAGCAATTAAAAATACATCTTATAGATGGATAGGCAGTTAGATAAAGCAACTATCTCACAATTTCAACAATTACAAAATCTAAGGGGTAGAGACAGACACTCAGTATATATTTTTTTCAACTTTTCTGTACACTTTTAAATGTTTCATCATAAAATATTAGAGAAATAAAGGACAACCCGAACTTATAATTTGATTCTGCAAACACTCATCTCCCTGTTTACTATACTAATAGAATTTTCCTCAGGCAAAGAAAAGCCAAATGACCAACAACATAAAACTGAACTTTATTTTTGGAACACAGAGATAATACTCAGCAGATACATGTTTCCTTTGCAGCACAGCCCGAGAAGCAGGTGGTCTGCTTCTCCATTCAGCCTCCCCTGCTCAATCGGGCTATTTGCAATCCGAAGCTCTCTGGGTTGTAAAGGAGAGAAGACTGTGGACACTCCCCACAAATAAGAGGCAAGAAAAAAGCAAATGTACCCAATCTGTGAACACACTGATCATTTATTTTTCTCCAATCCATATAATAATTATTTAATAAAAAAGTAACTCCTGGTTATGAAAAGTTATATTTTCCCCTGAAACTCCCAGCCTCACAAGAAAGTTCATTAGAGAGACCCACAGGGTCCTAGAATGTACACAAACCCACCTACCCAGGAATCAGCACCACAGGGCCCAATTTGCTTGTGGGTAGCACGGGAAGTGACTGAAAGCCAGCCAAGAGCCAAGCAAGTGACATTGTTCCCTCTCCGACCCCCCACAACATACAGCACCAAAACCTAGTGATATGGGTTGCCCCCACCCTGGCAAATCCCTTAGGCTCCACCCCTTACTATGTAACAGGCCTGCTGAGACAATATATATATATATATATATATATATACACACATACATATACATACATATATATATATATATATAGTCCAAATGAAAGAACAGATCAAAGCTCCAAAAACAGAACTAAAGGATGAAGAGATAGGCAACCTATCAGATGCATAGTTCAAAACACTTGTGATCAGGATGCTCACAGAAATGGTTGAGTATGGTGGCAAAATAGAAGAGGTGAAGGCTATGCAAGGTGAAATTTTAAAAATGCACAGGGAACCAACAGTGATGAGAAGGAAACTGGTACTCAAGTCAACAATGTGGAGCAAAAAAAAAAAAAAAAAGGAACATTCAACCAGAACAGAATAAAGAAACAAGGATCAAAAAAATGAAGAGAGGCTTAGGAATCTCCAGGACAACTTTAAATGTTCTAAAATCCAGATTAGGGGTGCCAGAAGGAGAAGGGGAAGAGCAAGAAATTGAAAGCTTACTTAAACAAATAATGAAGAAGAACTTCCCCAGTCTGGAAAAGGAAAAAGACTTCCAGGAAGTCCAAGAAGCTCAGAGAGTCCCAAAGAAGTTGGATCCAAGGAAGCACACACCAAGGCACATCATAATTACATTACCCAAGATTAAAGATAAGGAGAGAACATTAAAAGAAGCAAGAGAAAAGGAGAGAGTTACCTACAAAGGAGTTTCTATGAGACTATCAGCTGATTTCTCAATAGAAACCTTGCAGGCAAGAAGGGAATGGCAAGAAGTATTCAAAGTCATGAAGGGCAAAGACCTACATCCAAGATTGCTCTATCCAGCAAAGCTTTCATTTAGAATGGAATGGCAGATAAAGTGCTTCCCAGGTAAGGTCAAGTTAAAGGGGTTCATCATCACCAAGCCCTCATTACAGGTAATGTTAAAGGGACTTATGTAAGAAAAAGAAGATGATCAAAAATATGAATAGTAAAATGACAGCAAACTCACAACTATAAACAACTGAACCTAAAAAAGGAAACCCCCCCAAAATAAGCAAACAACTACAATAGGAACAGAATCACAGAAATGGAGATTACATGGAGGGTTATCAGTGGGGAGAGGGGAGAGAGGGGTAAAAGGTACAGGGAATAAGAAGCATAAATGGTAGGTACAGAATAGACAGGGGGAGGTTAAGAATAGTGTGGGAAATGGAGAAGCCGAAGAACTTATATGTACGATCCATGCACATGAACTAAGGTGGGTGAATGCTGGTAGGAGCAGGGTACAGGGTGGAGGGGAATAAAGGGGAGGAAAAAAGGGGTGACTGTAATAGCATAATCAATAAAATATATTTTTAAATTGGAATAAAAAGAAGTGAATGTATCCTACACATACTCAGAGTAACAAAAAGGAACTCTTATTTCCTTTCTGTTTCCACAGCCACCTCCTTAGGTAACTGACTGATTAATAGAATCTGTAAATTTTCATACCTCTTATGTCCTAAGCATCCTAAGTTTTAAAACTCATAGCCTAATATTCAACAGGCTCACTTTGGCACTGGAAAAAATACATTTGAGTAACAAAAGGTGCCATTAAATGTCTAAGAGAACAGCCAGGCTGAGGAGAGGAAACCTCAGAATTAAAGGACAGTCAGGTCCATGTGGATTTGAGGTCAAGAAGTCCTGTCCCCTACTTCCCAGCAAGAACACAACTAAACTCTCTCAAATAAAAGAAAATTATTTACTCAACTCTACTCCAAATTCCTATAGAAGACAATATCAAGAATGATGTTTCAGTTTTTATTTTAAATGTATACATACACCACAATTTACTATGTATTCTATATACTTCTACAAAAGTACACAAAATTCGCCCTGGCTGGTGTGGCTCAGTGGACTGAATGACAGCCTGCAAACTAAAGGGTCCCTGGTTCAATTCCCAGTCAGGGCACATGCCTGGGTTGCAGGCCAGGTCCCCAGTAGGAGGCATACAAGAGGCAACCACATACCGATGTTTCTCTCACCGCCTTTTTCCTTCTTTTCCCCTCTCTCTAAAAATAAATAAAATCTTTTTTTAAATTACATAAAATTATAAAACTAACTTTTAAGTTCAATGGCTGATAAGATCTGAGACATGGTAATATGAACCAAAAATACTGAAACAGTAGATCTTAGTTCAGAATAACCATCCACCCTGGTAGGAATGTGAATATCACGGACTTGGTCCAGTGTCATACTGTGAAAATGGGTAACACAGCGTAACTTTTGGACAAAGGTAGGTTGGTTGATTCCATGTTGCAAATGCAATTGAACGGTGTGGTATTAACCTATATGACAAGTAGGTACTGCACTGAAGAACTGAGAAGGGAAACATCCTCAACTGATTACATAACAGAATTTAAATAGCTTTTCAGCTTATAAGAATTTGGAAAAAATTTAATTTAAACTCCAGAACAAGAATGCCTAAGCTGTAATCAATTTGATGACCAATGGAATCACCACAGGAAAGTTTTACAAGCCCCATTCTTTCAAGGCACTTTTAGTATTGCCTTTTAAATAGGCAAAATGATATTTAAAGTATCTTAAGAATATGTATCCTCAATATCCTAATCCTTAACTTATTATATCTATAACCTATTTTTTTTTTAAAAAGACTGGGCATCTAAATTTAAAAAAAAAGAAGTTCTCACTATCCAAATTGAAAACTGACAAAATGAGGCTTCTTTGAAGACTCAGATGCTCAAAATATCTTTTAATAGAAGATAACAGATGCAGTAAATTTAAGACAGATGGTGCCATGCAATAAGGGGTCATGCCATATGATGTTTAAGAAGTTGGAAGAGGTAGCATGTCCGCTCTGCAGAAATGAGCCTGCAAGGTCTGGAGTGAGCATCCCTTTTACCTGGCTGCACTCCTTTCTAGGTAAAGTGATTAATGTAAATAAAAATTCCAATGCAGGTAGGCCCTCAAGTAAATATGTACAATATGAGCAAAGCTAAGCATAGGTATGACCAGGGCTCTTGCTGGCATATCCAGTAAGACATCAGGAACAGAAGAGGTGAGGTGAAAGATGTCCTTTCCTAGATACACCAGAGGGTGTGACTGATGTAGACCAAGGGAGACTAAGGAATGGGGGGGGGGGGAAGCCCAGAATGACAGAAAATGTGAAACAAGAGAGAAAAGGGCACCCCCTATACCTCTCATCGAAGTTAAAGCATTTTGTAGGTTAATATTCAATATACAATGACTGGTTTTTCTAGCCTTCAATCCCTCTCCTAATGGGAAATAAATATTTTTGTGTTTTAAAAAAATCTTGACAATCAGCCCATGATTTCACCAATTGTGAGGAAGATAAAGGAGAGAAGATGCTAATCAAAATGACGACTGGGATAACGAACAAATCCCAGAATTAGTCAGCAAATTGCTTAAAAGAAATAATAAATGTCAGCAACTCAAAACATCACAGACCTCATAAATCGCCCAGCAGCTACTGCTGCCCCTGCCGTCCTTGTCACCGTCACAATGCCATCGGCAACCTCCTGTTCTTAAAGGAAAGTCTCAGTCTTATGCTGGTGTTTGCATTTCAAAGTATCTATTCCAGTCTCAAAATATAAGAATAAACAAAAGGAGGCTTCTCTTTGTTAATACTTTTCTTTTTTCAATAAATAGAAGATGTTTAATTTATAAAATAAGAGTTCAGTGTTATCAGAAGGAATAGACAGAGGACAGGAAACAAGCACTTAAAGGTTAAAAATATGGTTATGAAATGAAACAGTCAACTTTTTTACAAAACCTTCTGGAATTTGGAAAACAAAAACCACAGACATGGAAAATATGACCAACATTATTTTACATAGCCAATATTCATATGAGCTATTTATTGATTCCTAATTAAATTTATTGGGATGACATTGGTTAATAAGATCATATAGATTTTAAGTGTACATTTCTATGACATATGATCTGTATATTATACTGTGTGCCCACCACCCAAGGTCAGATCACCTTCTGTCACCATATATTATCTTAGTAATACTTTTATTCCAAGATTTAAAGCATTATAGTCCACCTTGATCTATATGTTTAAAGGTTCTAGAGTTTTAGCATTGACATTACAAAAATTAAAACCATTTTTCTCTTTTTCACACAGTCTCTTAAAGCCAAGCTTCTCTGCCATTTCTGCCGTAGCGCCGAGGCTGCTTCGCAGTCTGACTCGTGAGCGGTTAGTGCTGAAGACCGAGAGAACTAACTCAACAGTCTCACCTGCTCCCCGGTCAGCCTCCCAAACATTGCTCCAGGGACAGTCTTACCTTCCAGGGAAAAGAGGTGCTTAGGCATAAAACTTTCAAATCTGCACATCAGTCAGAAAGCTGATAATGCCTAAGTACATTCCATACCATTTACTCTTTGTTTCAAACTTAACTCTTATAAACAACACTCCATACAGACACGTCACGGAGATGTTCGGGCATGTTGGATAACTGACCAGTTAGGGGCCTGCTGTCACAGAAAACCTTCTTGTCATCGTGGACAGACCTAGCCAGACCCTGATGCCTTTCTAAAGTAAGGGGTCCTCACACTGCTCCCTTTGGTCCTGTATGTTAGAAGTATTCGGCTTTGACAATAACCCAAAACAGAATATTCTGTCCCCAGTCCTTCAGGGACTGAGAGGAGCAGCCAGTCAACCTGTGTTGACATAGACCACACAGAAAGGAAGGGCTCATTACACAGGCCCCTCACAAACTATTAAACAAATATCCCAAGTGATGTGCAGACATTTCCAAAGATGGATCAAGCAGTCCCTCAGGAAATCTGGAACAGTTAAAATACCTTTTTTCTCCTGGTGACTCCGGTAGGCTGTAAGCTCTTTGCTGCTCTACAAGACACAGAACAATAAGATGAAAACTAAGTCAGACAAACCAGCAGCTGCGTATTAGTCTGAAAGGCATGCACTTAATCACTTTCCTTCACTGTATGTACCATCAGTTGTGAAAAAATAAGTCACTTTATATAAGTAGGGCATTGCTCTGGAAATCTTTATGACTCTCCCTAGTTTGGAGAGAATGGCAAAGAAGCCAAAACACAGCAACATTTAACAATTTTATGAACTAAGTTAGCATCAGCAAGGGATAGCAAATATTTTCAGAAGTACGGAAAGTTAGTTCTATCTTTTTGGATATTTCTCACCAGAGCCTCATACCTTACTCATAACACTAATTACATATAGAATCGATAAATATCTTTGCTGCTTTTTAAGTGAAGCACAAAAGAAAGTCTTGAAGTCCATTCTAAGGCAGAATCTGTTTTAACGTAGCTGCAATGCCTGTATAAAACCTGAGCAGCAGCCAGTTCAGAAATGCCCTTCATGGCTCATGGGGAAGGGAGAACCACCTGTCCCGTTGGACTTACTGGGGGCAGAGGGGCAGGTGCAAACAAGCTGCTCAGGGCCCGCCTTGTTTCAGGAAGCAACTGGAGCACTTACTATGGGGGTGGAGCAGAGACACAGATTTAGACAGTGGGAGAGACTGAAGCAGGGAACAGCCGCTGGGGAGCACACCACGCACAGAGCAGGGGCAGACCCGTTCCCATTACAACATGGAAGCGTGACGGGGCAGAACTAGGTTGCAGAGGTTGAGCCAGACATATGAGGAGGAAAAGTCATAAATACATATCCCCTGAAATGTGCAGCCATCAGTGTTGAACCTAACACTACCTTGTAGGTAACAGAAAATCTAACTTAAAGAATTTGAAGGAGTTGTTTTATTGCTATTAAATGTTCCACAGATTAAGTCTCAGGCAGAAATCAGCATCCTTACTGTGAATAGGCTGAGGTTCAGGAGATGCCAAGAGAATAAAGCCTCTTCAAAGTAATCGAGCTAATAAGGCCACTGAACAAAGTCTGATAGGAATCCACCCATTGGTGAGCAATAATTTTCAAAAGTGCATTAACTTCACTCCTCAGGTTCTTAAATACAGAACACTTTGTCCATCTTGGTGAGGTTATAATTACCACCACAATATTGACAATGTCCCCTTCTCCCTAAGCCTATAATGTACCAAAGGGAATTATATATAGGGTTGGATTTTGTTTTATGTATATAAGCACTAAAAAATAAAGTTGCCACTATTGTACTATTGACTAAAAAAAAAAACCCCAAAAAAGATGATGTGACAGTAAGTAATCCTTTGGAAGTCACAAGTAAGAGAGGTCACAAATAAGAATAAAAAGGACAGAAAGACCACTGTATCTTAGTATATCTGTATTACAGTTCATATATGGGAGTTTTCCATTGGGGCAAAAGGAGACTTGGAGTCTACTCAAATAGAGAAAATATTTAGGACTATTCAAAACTCTTAAGAGAGGGCCCTAGCTGGTATAGCTCAGTGGATTGAGCGCAGGTCTGCCAACCAAAGGATTGTGGTTCAATTCCCAGTCAGAGCACATGACTGGGTTGTAGGCCAGTTCCCAGCAAGGGACATAGGAGAGGCAACCACACATTAATATTTCTCTCCCTTTCTCCTTCCCTTCCCCTCTAAAGATAAATAATAATAATAATAATAATAATAATTTTTTTAAAAAACTTGAGAGAGGATTTCTAACAAACATCAATTTACCTCTGACTAATCTATGCAAACTAAACAATGAAACATAAGAATATACCTTTGAACTACTCAAGCTTTCACACTGTGCTTTGATCACACACAGGTGAAATCATTCCTTTTTTTTAGGACTGAGGGTGGAGGGTGAGAGCTGGGGGTGAATGGGGAGGGGGAACAGGGTGGTAGGAAAATGGAGACAACTGCATTCTAACAATAAAAAATAATTTTAAAAAGTTAACCTAGGTGCCCATCAGTAAATGAATGGATCCAAAAACTATGGTACATTTACACAATGGAATTCTATGCAGCAGAGAGAAAGAAGGAGCCCCTACCCTTTGCAACAGCATGGATGGAACTGGAAGGCATTATGCTGAGTGAAATAAGCCAGGCGGTGAAAGACAAATACCATATAATCTCACCTTTAACAGGAAGCTAAACAAAACAAACAAGCAAGCAAAATATAACCAAGGACACTGAAATGGAGAAAAGGCTGACAGGGACCAGAGGGGAGAGGGGGAGGGAATTTCAGGGGAAAAAGGGGAAGGATTTACAGGAACTAGTATAAAGGACACATGGATAACAAATAAGGGGGGTGGAAATAGGAGGGAGGTGGGGAGCACTGGGGGGTTGGGCTGGAATGGGAGTAAAAGACAGAAAACTGTACTTGAACAATAAATTTTTTAAAATTTTAAAAAGTTAACTTGCTCTCCATAGTCCAATAGTTTTGACTATGATAAATGGTTTCAGTCCAAAGATTTGCAACTATATAGGAATATCTGTTGGAATCTGTACATTTAGTGTGTAACCTCAATCTAAATTACCTGTTTGTAATTCTCAAATATCTATTGAGAATCTCCCACAGACCAGTCACTGTTGAGGATGGAAGCTCCAAGTGCAAAGATTATGCTTTCAAGGTTGTTCCACATAACATAAAAATGCAAAGTAACCACATACTGGAGAATATCAAACTTCAAATAATACTGTTTTAAAACATACTGTCTAGCCCTGGCCAGGTAGCTGCTGGTCAGAGCATTGTCCCTATACAAAAAAAGTTGCAGGTTCAATCCTCGGTCAGGGCATACACAAGAATCAATCAACGAATTCATAAATCAGTGGAACAACAAACTGATTCCTTTCTCTTTCACTCTCCTCTCTCTCTCTCTCATCAATAAATTAAAAAATATATAATTAAAAATATACCATCTAAAGAAAAGCTTTTATTCATAGAAAAACCAAAGGATGTCAATTTTTTGTATTTTCTAACTCAAATGCAAAGAATTAAGGATTGTATGTTAGGCAAAGATACCCTTCCTCATTCATTAAAAAATTTATAAGTGAGGGCTCTTTTCCTTTGTAAACAATCAATTTTCTTTAACATCTGCTCAATAATTTCAAATTTCAGAACTGACTTGAAAAATCAGAGATATTCCAAACATAAGGGCGAGGTCACCATTTTGCACATTTCACAGAAGACTTAAAAGTATTTTTCAAATAGTTATAGTATAAAGTTAATTCGTTACTTAGGACTGTGAGTAAAAAGGTGTCAAGCTGCCATTTAAAGGACTCCCAACCTCAGCTAAGATTAGGGAGAGCTGGATATCTGAGGAATACTCATGGTATGAAAAAAAAATACAGGGAAGATTTAATCCATCTTCTTTTCCTGCCCCCTAAAAGGTAACTATCCTATCTTTCTCTAGTCTGCTTTTCTTTCTTCCCATTCCAAAAATTAAAATTAACACACAGGTAGTCTTGTTTTCTCCTCTTCCAAAAGACTTCCCAGGTAGGGCACGGGGGTGGGGTGGGTGGGGGCACACACCAAATTGCACTTGTTCTGTATTTGATGTATCTGGACAACAATATTTTTCAACAAATATCTATTGAGAATCTCCCATAGACCAGTCATTGTTGAGGATGGGAGCTCCGAGTGCAAAGATTATGCTTTCAATGTTGTTCCACATAACATAAAAAATGCAAAGTAACCACATAATAAAGCAAGAATTTTAAAAAGGAAAGAAAAAAGAGTAAAATACAGCCTATTTTAAATGTTCTACACCGAGAAATTGTGAATACTTAGCACATCTCAAATTTTCTGAGTCTTTTAAGACTCTTAAAGAGATAAAAAAGTTATTATCTAACACACTGACAAAAATTTTATTATAATGCTATACATTACAGAGTAGCATGACTACTGCCAACCATGCCCTGAAATGCAATGACTACATAGTATTGTATGTGCAGACAGTGTGACATAGTTACATTTCCAAGTAAAGCTGAAAATCAGGGCAGAGGCTGAGGGGGGCTGCCAGGCAGCTCAGAGTTGCCTGTAATTGTTCCAGTTCTTGGTCTGAATTCAATTTAAAAAAATCCGTCAAACTATATGCCTATAATTTACACCCCTCTTTGTAGGTATACTATATTTAAGTTAAAATTTTATTGCATAAAATTTACTTCTGAATGCTTGCATTGCCACAAAAAAATGTTGAGATACATTTATTCATGTTTCAAATAGTTCTCTTATTTCAACTTTCTAAAGTTCATTGCTAAATAAAGAAAGGAAATCTACTTTGCAGTGGTTTGCCTCTGAGGAGTTTGATTGTTTCAGCAATTTACATATAGGAAAAAAGTAATTTTTATACTTCAATAAAATCCTCTAAAATCCTCACAAATAATGAGCCTAGAATAAATTCTAGTTTACACTATCCTTGAGGAAAACATTTTATTCAAAGAATAAAGCAACAGAGATGAGTAGACAAATTTGTAATTTCATCAAAATCAAATCTTTAACTTGTGTGATATCCAAGAGGAAAAGATTTTGCTAAGCGTAGAAAAACTCGTTGTGAAAACACAATCGAAAACTCGTGCCAGCTGCTGTTGTCTATTCTGTGCACTTTCACCCACTGAAACTCTGCCCTGGAGTGGAGCGCTGTCAGAGACAAACAGTAAACAATGCTCACCTTCACTTGAATTGCACACTGTGAAATCGCGCACCAACCGAGTTCTTCCTAAAGAAAGTTTGGGCGATGAGCAGGAATAAGAACGTGAGCGAACTCCAGAAACCAATGATTCCTAAAGGAGATCAGAATGATGTTTTTAAAAAAAAATACTACATAAGACTTGAAAGTATATGTTCACCCTGAATGGTACCAAATCAGCATCTTTGTTAAAGGATTCAACCTGAAAATCTGGGATGCAATCTCATTGTTTCTGTTTGCCTCTCACAATTTTAAATATTATTGCCTCTTTAGTGCTTTGGGGACTGGCTCCTATAGATACTTTAGGTGCAATTATGACATTCCAACCAAGTCGGTTAAAAGTGAAACATGAAGTCAAATGAGTTTTTCTCTGCATATTTAACAAATCTGGCTCTTTTTCACCTGAGTTGTCAGTTATTTTTATTTTACACTGTAGCATTCAAGCAAATTCTATACTAATGTATCTCTCTATGCTTACTGATTGTTGAAAGGTAGAGGGACAGTCATTTATAATGATGAGATTTTAGAACTTCCAAAGAGCTGTTTAAGTTTATGATGTTCGCCGCAGCCTCTAGGGACGCATGTATCAGGCCACCACACAAATCTTCCTGGGCTGCGCTCATCTTTTAATGGACTTTCCGTCCGGCCTTTCCTGGGGTGATGTTTGACTATCACTGATTTACAGACCCTCATTCCTTCCAAATGGCCTGCCATTTTCATTCCTGTTTTTCTAATTACATACTATTTCTGTTATAATGTTTGCAACATATATAAAAATACAAGATGGCAAGGTAATTAAAACATGGCTTTCTTACATGATCTAGAAAATTTAAACGAATATGCAATAGAACACCATTACACCCACTTATGGTACCCAACTCCCCTCCAACAGACAGGGGCCTGCTGGCCTTAGGATTCATTCCACCTATCCATTTGTAAGATAGCACTTAAATTTAGGGCTAAAATAAAGTAATGCAAAATTTATTACTAAAATGAAGCCATCAGCAACTGTCCTTCACAAGCGTTGGTCTCTTTGGTTCCCCCTAAGTGAAAACACATGGTTTCCCGAAGCTCATTGGTATAGAGAGCCTGGAGAAAAGTTGAAAACAGATGCCTGACCCTGCTTCAAAGGGGCTTGGGCTGTGGCTCCCCTGGCTGACTTACGAGGGAGGACCCTCTGGGTCTGCATGTCAGCAAGGCCAGCCCACGCTGGCCTACGACCCTCACAGTGAGCTGGCCACAAAGGGCCCTCGCCGAATGCCATCCTCTGCCCTGACGTCATACGTGGGAATCATTTTGTACAATAATGGGACTTTGAAAATTATCCAGAACCCTCAGGTAAAAAGTTACACAGGATAATGACAGAAGCAAGGCAAGATACACTTTAAAGGGCAGATCCTTCTTAAAAATGGGCAACACTGAATTGCTTCATAGCGACTGAATTACTCTGCATCCCAAGTAATGATGAGTTTCACATTCCATCGAAAATGCAAAACTAAGAAGGATCTACATCAACAAACATATTATCCAGAAATATCACATGATCTTCAGGTTCAAAAGACTGTGACAGTTCCACAGGCTTCCACGCTGAGGGGAAGGGTCCTGGGTCTGGGGTCAGAGGCCTGGCGCTGAGTCCTGATGGCTCGCCAGGCCTGGGGAGCCTCCTCTGCTCAAAAATTAAAACAAAGGCACGACTATGTCCGAGGTGAGCGATGATGTGATTACGCATGTTGCACACACATAAAACGCATTTTGGACACTGCAGATTATACCACAAAACCCAAGCACCATCACAACAGCCGTGTGTTCATGTGGACACAGCACATGCTACCTCATAGCGATGAACTCCGCTGAAGAAGAAAAAGGGATACGATAACACAAATCAAAAAGGAAAAACACACGTCCAAACACAGAAGGGCTTTCTCTGTGAGACTGGAAGGGTTTAATCTTTTGAAAGATAAACACAACAAAATGAAACCCCCATACGAGAGGGCCAATGAGAGAAAAACCTGTCTCCTATGGAAAAACTGACAAGTTTATGGTGTTCCCCATTAGTTCATGCAGTCAGGAAGGCTAAACAAACATCACCTCTGCCTTAGTGACATTATTCACCTCGTCACCCACGCCAAGTAAAATTTTATGTGAGCAAAACAAGTTTGATCACTTACACCCACTGAATACTACCAGTTTTTCTCTTTTTGCCTTAGGGATGATGGGAGAAATTATTGTGTAAGATGGTAAAATTTTCCAAGTATGTGAAAGATTATATGTTCTGGTGGTGAATTAATGAAAACAAATCAGCCCTTGGAAGATGGAATATACAAATTAGAGTAGGAGAGATTAAAAAGACAGACTGTCAGTCAGCACATGTGTCCCCAAAAGAAAAAAATGTTTATACATGTGAATAAAACATTTGTCTTTCCGAGATGGATATACTCAGCTGACACATTTTCCTTACTTAGAATAAACCACATCCATACCAGTGAGAATACCTTTGACTGCAGGTTACTTGATAGAGAAAGTGACTCAGTCCTGCCGATGTTAAAATCTGGGTCAGTGTTGGTCTCAAAAGAGTCTAGCTCGTCCCCACTAGGAATCCCAGTTCCCGAGGGACTCTGAGACGCTGGCGGGTGACACGGGCGGGACTGCTCCGGCGGCCCATCCCCTTCGCTGTCGGCATCCAGAGCATCGAGGCTGGAGCTGAAGCACAAAGTGGGCAAACGAGTAAACGACCGAGACAGCAACAGGGTCTCTGGTTTCTATCTCTGAAGTCAATTCCTCAGTGGTGTGAGGTACAGTGGGTACTCAATTAATTTCTAAAAAAAATTTCTATTTAAGTCATTTTTATTGGTTTCCCCAACCCCAAACATCCCTTTTTCAACAAAATTGTGTTTCCCTGAGTGCACATTTCTACCTAAGCAAAGGTCCTGTCAGGGACTCTCAGATACAGAAGCTGGTTCGAGTTAGTATCACCCAATTTCTGTTTTGTAAATGTAATTGTTGTAAGCCCTAAATAGTGACCCTTTGAATATTAAAAACGCAGACAAAATAGAGCCACTGAGCTGTTGGGGAGGTGGAGAGCTGCACGTGCCCACACGTGACCACACACAGTGTGACATTCCCTGTTCTCCTTGGGCCAGAGAACTCAGGGAGGAGGGCAGCAGCACAGGTGAGGACAGACACGCAAAGGGCTGCCCCGGGCTGGTGTCATGGCACAGGTCACACAGGAATCAAGTGAGGTCCAGACTGTGTCCCATTAGATTATCATGTTCAGAAGTTTTAAAAATTGTCCCAAGAGAAACTCATCTCAGAAGCAGGTAGTAGTTCTGCTTAACTACTAATGCTTTTCTTTCCTTATTTAACCTTGATAACCATACAATTTAAAGGAAAGAATTTGACCTTTCACATTCCTGCTTACTCCTTAATATTTAGATTTTCAACCACTCCCCCTTGGAAACTGACAGCCTTCACAGGTATGTTAACTGCCCAATGAATGTTTAAATTAAATTTATTGGGGTAGCATTGGTTAATAACATTATATAAATGCCAGGTGTAGAACTTCGTAATACATGACCTGAATACTCCATTGCACACTCACATCCAAAGTCCAGTCTCCTTCCATCACCACACATTTTCACCCCTTCGCCCTCCATGTCCCACCCCCCGACTCCCTTTCCCCTCCGGTAACTACTATTCTGTTGTCTGTATCTAAAATGAAAAGTGACAAATGAACAAACAAAACAAACAAACTGCATTTTTAATTGCCTTTTTCTTTGGTTGTTACAGTTCTGAAGTTAAAATTTTAAAAACAATGTAATGAAAGCACCTTAGTTATGGAATGTAGAGAACCAAAAAAATTAAACATTGAATAATGCACTTGGATTATTTTTCTTGAAAAACCACAGGCTATTCGATGGCCACTAAATGTCTGCTCAATACATGACACGACACTTGGTCCTTATATGGGACTCTAATCCAAACACTTAGCTATGTCTGCAGTCTGTGGACTTGTCCACGGCAAACCTGGCAGTAAGGGAAGGTCGGTGCCGGCGCCGCTGAGGTTTCCGAAGTGGGGTTTTTCTCCTTAACGAGCACACGGACAGCTCTGCCTTGGCATGCAGACGGGAAGGATAGACTGCAGGTGGACTTCACGTTTTTCTTTAGTTCAACACTCACACATGTTGGAGTACATGCAATTATTCCTCATGAGAAACTAAAGCTTAGTGTGGAAGAAAACCTTTCCAGTCAACGTTGGAGCTATGAACATTATGGTAACAGAATTACAGATCATTTACAGTGCTATATAGTTTTATTAATTCATCATTAATCTGAGGGTAGAAAGAGGTCTGGGGGTGGAGGGGGGTCAGAGGTTTGCTGATATCTTGTGCCTCTGTGTTTGTCTTTCAACTTGTGGTGTCTGTACTAAGGAGAATCACTTCAGACAGCTGGCTGCCTGCGAGAACAGCCTATTTTAACACAAGCCTTCCTGGTTACATACAGTGTTTCTCCATCACTGTGAATACACCCTAGAAGGATTACTATTACTTTATTTTGCATACTATACTTTAAAACATTTATTTTTCTGTTAATTCAAACTGGCTATACTTTTTCTTTGTTATTAACCTAAGATATTCAATATTATAGACAATATTTTATGAATTACCTCTAGGTTCTCATTTGATAATACCATTTTTCAAAATCCCATTAGTGGAATATCAAATAGATTCGGTAGGTTGTAACTAGAATTTTTAAACTGTATAGAGTAAAAAAATATTAGAATACATTTCACATGTTATTTCATAAACTGTTTAAATTTTATGTGTATGGGGAGGGGAGGGGAGGAAAGGACTGGTTCAGGGTGTGACAAGCATTTCTTACTTCGGAAAAACAAAAAGTGGGTTTAAAGATATATTTTAGAACAGAACAAACATGTCTCCTATCCACTAATTTTCTGCTGTATAATTTGTTAAAATAAATGCTGTGTTGCTTATTTTCCCCTTTGTAACTTCTTAAAATAGCTATTAAGTTTAAGTAACATAATGGTTACATATTGTACATACAATTTTACTTTCACCAAAATATTGCTTTAAACCCTAGAAAATTTAGGACTTAGGTCCCAGTCAGCTTGTCCCTGTGTTAACCTTGTTATTGTGCGCTCCTGAATCTTTCCCACATTAGAAGTTCCTAGCCTCTCAGCCTAGGATTTGCTTATTTAAAAATTGGGTGCATTTCACTTCAAGTTCATTAGCAATTTGTGTTACTCGCTCCCACCATGACGCCCACTGAGGGCAGGGTCCCACAGTCACCCCAGAGTCAAAATGGGGCTTCTGGGGGTGAGGAGTCCTTTCTCCTCATTCCTACGTGTGTCAGAGGAGACAGAATATGCAGGAGATAAAGTTGGCCGGCAGGCCTGGCTGGAAGAGTTTCCTTTTAGCACATCTTTCTTCCCTTGCCCCCCACCCTGCCCCCTACCAGCTATGACACTTTTACAGATAATTAGATTTTACATTAAATTATCTTTACACAAACTGGATAGTTTTTTCTTACATTTTAATATGGCAAATTCTAGCTACAGCTGTGAGATATGTTAAATGTCCCAGGACAAGGCCATCATCTGAAAGTATTATGCAGAATGCCTGTGGATATTTGCATAAGCAGAACAGAGAGACCACTGGTGCCTTTTTCTCCCTCTATTCCTAGAGTGAAGAACCCACTCACCTCTCGAGACCTGGGCCACAAAGTGGACAGATCATGAAGATTCTATCAGGATGTACTAGTAACACACAGTTAAATCTGTTTCTGCAGAACTGTATGGACTCTTGCCTGGTGGAGAGCTCAAAATATCCCATCAATTTAATGTACAGCCATGACCACTCAGCATCTTTTAAACCATAATTTGAAAAATACAAATCTAAAGAAAACCTTTCATTGTCCTATGTATCAGACACTAGTTACCGTTGGTACCAATACCTGCTATAAAGTGTTACTGCCTCAAGGGGTGGTACATTCACACAAAGCGCAGCGTGGTGAGCGGCCTGCACCCAGGATGGCTGCCTCTCCTCCCTCTCTCTCCTTTCTGACCAATGAAATCGCTGCTGAATACTTACTTGCCTATGTGGATGTTCATTCATAGATAGACGACTATACACACACACAGATTGAATGTGCATTCTATATTCATTCTGACTCAGATTTTATGTGTGAAAATTAGTATAATCCGAGGTCTTGGGCCTGGGCTGAGTGGGGAGGGGATAAGCTATTACCTAAGGAAAGCGGGCAGCAGAATAAAATGAAATTAGCAGAAATTGGCCTTTTTCCTAAAGAAAATAGACAGGATGGATGGATACGAAATAGATACAAAACTACAAAACATACGTACACATGCATTTGCATCTGCATGTAAATACACACATCACTTCACACCGACACCACTGTTTGAATAGCACCTTGGTGTACACACTATGTATACACACTTGTGTACACACAAGACAATATGTGCAAGGAAGCTAAGTTACAGAATATGAAAATAAAATGAACACCTATGATCCCACCCAGCTTGAAATTTAAGTGCTGGCCATACCACTGAGACCCTTTTATTCCTTCCCATCCCCATTCCCTACTTTCCCCGCTAGATGCAATAACTATCTTTAATTTGGGAATTTTTTTCCCTCTTTGTTATTTTGCTTTATTTGTTTAATAACTTAAACTCATATGTATCTGCCCTGTAATAATAAATTGCTTAGTTTTTGTTTTGTTCTGATTGTGTAAAAATGAAATCATTAACTAAGTACTTTGCGCCTTACGTCTGTGTTCAACCTCATGTGTCTGTGATGCATATTATGTATGCAGATGCAGTCAGTTCATCTTCACCACTGCACATCACTTCTCTGGGTAGGCGCACTGTAATTTATTCATTCCCCACTGGGGTTATTTCCTGCTCTATAACTACTCATGTGCATGTCTCCTAAAACACAGAAGTAAAACTGCTGGGTCATAAAATTCATATCCAAATTGTTTTACAAAGTTATTATATAATTTTCACTCCTATCAACAGCAATAGAAGTTTCTGGCTTGCATTTTCATTAAAATATGGTGTTGCCAAGGCATCTAATTGTGGTTTTCCTCTATGGTGTTTTTCTCAGTCTTCTTAATTGCCTTACTTTCAAAACAAGGAATACAGAAGCCTAAAAAGCAACATTTTTTATGTAGAGATAAAAATGATAGGGACAATAGAAAACAATAGAATTTTCCAATTTCCACTAAAAGGTCCAAATTTTCTACATTTTGAGGCTACAAGGTATGATTTTTCTACACTTTTCCTCTAAAATATAGCATCTTACCTTCTTTTCTTTAGATGACTTTGTTCCTTTTCAAGTCCGTGAAGACCAAAAGAAAGAGTTAAGTTGGAGGTGTGTGAGCTCGACGGTGGTGGGAAGGGCTGCTGGGCCTCAGTGCTGGATGTCAGGTCCTGGCTCTCACCCAGCGGGCACGTGCCAGCGCTGGCCACGGCAGCAGGGGTGTGTTCGCAGCTCTCAGGGCCCAGCGCGGAACCCATGGAGTCGGGGCAGGTGTCTGCAGTGATTTGCTCTACGTTGATACAGTTAATATCCAGATCGCCAACCTGGTAGTCAAAAGGAAAACATTTGCTAAGCAAAAGCAGGATGGATTGGCTTAGCTAAGAATAAATCTTGCCCAATTTAAAAACATCTCTACTTTATCTTTTTTTTGTTTTGTTTGTACTCGCTTTTGTTTCGTTTCATGTAAGCAGAGAATTCTTTCATGATATGTTTTTGTTCAGCTGGCTGCTATCCCAAAATTCACAAAAGGAAAACGACAACTGAGCGTTTTAACATTTTATGAACCACTGACTCAAAATGAGAGGAAATGCTTTAGATGCTTGAGAAAAGGCTAAAGACCAGGCAGCTTCATTTTAAAAGTAGTGCGTAGGAATTTGGGTAAACAAGATAGTGGTGGTCCCATAAATCGGAGTCTCCCAAGAATCACTCCAAACAAAAAGAAGAATAAAACTGCATAAGATGAATGGCCTTAGGATAACTAGAAGAAAGAAAATGCCCCAAACATTAAATTACCTGGAAATAATAAAACGAGCACCGAATCTCAACAAACAACCTGTCATACTCCACCATAAACCTTTGCAGAGAGGAGGGGAAGTCTGCACAAATCTGCATGGCAGAGAGAACAGGGGCTGGCAGAGGGCTGAGGCTGACCTAAAAGTCATTCTGGGAAGAGAAAATGCACATGGGAGAGAGTTCCAGTTGATCATAGCACTTGCCTAAGAAAGGGGCTCAAAAATACAGGTGACCCGAGGTGGCGGGCATCAAAAGGCATCGCTTCCAGGAGAGAAGACAGGAAAAAGAATGAGAATGACACCACTTCAATATAAGGGTGGTGAAGGGGAAACGAAGCAGGAGGACAATTTAGGCACCTAAACTAACCGTCACAGTGGTAACTTACTAAGGCAAAAATGCTGAGACTAGTGGGTGCAAGTCAGATGAGTACCAGGGTACTTAACGACTCAAACCATCTCCTACAGCTACTGAAAGATTGTTACTTACATCACTAGTGAAATTATCAATGCCATAAAAGATGACCAGAGAACTGCCCCAGATTGAAGGAGATAAAAAAGACATGATGACTAAACGCAACACAGGAAACTGAATTTACTCTTGTTACAGAGAACCTTGAGGCGACTGGCTAAAATTGAATAAGGCGTGTACACTGCTAATAGTACTGCATCAATGACGGTTTGCTGATTTTCATTACTACACATGCTTATGTAAAAAAAAAGAAAATGTCCCCTTTTTAGGAAAATATACCATAAAAGACTGAAGAATATAGGTGTACCATGTTTTCATTTTTCTCTCAAACTGAAAATATATTATATATATTATATGTAGTATATAATATATATTACATACAAATAACATGTATGTGTATATGTGTAGTATATACTATATATGTGTAGTATATAATATATAATATATTATATACAAATACACAATATATTATCTATTATTTCTATTTTAAGCATTTGTGTGCATATAAACACATACTCAGAGGATAATAAAGTAAAATATTAATATTTGGGGAGTTTTGATAAAGAGTATAAGGGATTCTTTCCATTGAATTATGTGGGCTTGAAATGATGTCCAAATAGCATTGTTTTCCCTCATTTTCACAGTAGTTTTATCAGGTGAATTTCCTCATCAGGTAGGTAGATAACCTTGAGAATTCATGGGAAACAGCACTGCAAACAATCTAGCAATCTTTTTTAGGTTTCTGTGCCATGCAGAGGGAACGGAACGGAAGGAAATTAGATAAGATTCTTTCCAGATATTGCTGGATATTATTTTAAATATGCAGAATTTGAACTCCTTGTTCTTCCTATTCCAATGGACATGCGGACAGTCAGAGAAACAACACGATAAGGGTACCACGCTGATGTAGTGAACTCTGTGATTTGTGTCCAGGTTGTCAGTTTCAGTTCTGTTTCCACTGCACACATTTGGTGATCTGCAGCTCCACTGCAATTTCCCAGTCACCTGTTTGAGTTCCCTTTAAATGTATGCTTCACGTTATTAAAGCAATGCTTCTCTCATATTCCCAAACAAATGACATCTTAACTTCATCTTTAGTTTGTAAAGTTTTATATTTTGAATGCATCTTAGAACACATAAAGACATGGTTTCCTACCTTATAAAATTCCAGTCACAGAGAATGTTAGCTACTTGAGTTAAGTGAAAATGTTACAGTATCCACTGAGGCTCAGAGGAGAAGAAAGAAGGAACAAGGAACAAGAAGGAGAACTCAAGAAGTATTTCATTTAAATGTTTAAAAAACATGGCAACAGAATAAAGCCATTAAAAGCAGAACAATTAGCCTGTATCTTCAAAGAACATCCCCAGAACTCCCACTTTGCCCTACACTCTGTGCCTCATCCTAGATTTCATAACCAGCATTCACATTCAGCTGCTTTATGCCAAAAAGCACACCAGCTATTTATGGACTGATGTCCACTCCTCTGTCATGCTGAAGATCAGCAACCTGTGCATTTACACAATGCATTTGAGGTAACAGTGTTTTATAAAATGCAAAAAGAAAAAGCAGAGATATTCAACTAAAGAGATGAAATTGAGATCTACTAGACAGAAAAAAGCTTATAAACTTTTAGATATGTTAGATATATCCACAAATATCTATAAGTAATAGGATATAATATATGCATACTAATGACAGTAAAAAAGGGTAAAATACCTTATTGCTAAATGAGCATATATATGGTGCATTTATATGGAGACTGGGTTTTAAAGTCAGGGGATAAGACAGAAAGTGGGTTGTCCAAACTACCCTTGAATCCCTATATCTCCCATAAATTAGAGTGTGCAGAAATCTTTAGATCTAGAGCTGTATTTTAATTTTTGTATTGTATTAAATAGTTATTATAATACAATTGTATTATAATTGTACAACACAATATTCTATTAAAATATAAGGGTCACTAGCTAGAGAAAAGAATAAAGAATAAATCCATACACAGATGCACAAACCACCTGCCTTTATGAGATCTGATTCACTAATCCCTATCAGGGAGTGGGCAGGGAATTCTACAGGGTTCCAGCTTCCCTGTAACATGACACCATTATGTTTTACTATTAAAGCTCCACAACCTTATTACATGTTAATAGGTGTGTTGTAAAGATTAAACAAGTAATTTATGTGACAGCATCGTTTGGGGTTGCCACCCAACTCTTGTTCATCTAGCTCTTGCTGGATTTGAATGCGAATACTGCTAAAGCAGATCGCTACACACATTACTCTCTGAAAAGCTGTAGAGGAGAAACCAGACTCCCATTTATCATTTCCTATTTTGGCCCCACTGAAGAGCTCTCATGTTTCTGTCATCTGGCAGTCAAAAGACCCCCCTCCTGGTGCACCTTGGTAGGCAGGGTGTGCTGTGCTTTGAAGGAAGGACCTCGTTCAATGCTCACATGATGAGATTCCACTGCAGTGACCTTGGCACTGCACTTGGGTTAAAATTTTCAGAGGAACACAACAATGCCGAATATACTTCTGACGTGCTCAGGCTTTGGAAAGAGGGCAGATCCGCCTTGTAATGTCAGTCCCGCCTTACCTGATCTATTACCATGCAGTTAGTGTAGACTTCATCGCCGCCGTTCAGCATGTCAGAGAGCCGGCCTGCAGCACGGAGCGTGCAGGGCTGCTTGGATTTTTTGAGGACGTCAAAGGAGCGATCTAGAGGAAAAATAAAAACAGGAGAAATAAAGTGTAAGGAATTTATTTTACAGTTAACTTTTATCTTCTTTATCAAACTATAAGAAAAAATAAAGGTTGCCTTTTTTAAGTTGGCATTTTGCTACCTCCACTCATTCAGAACTATACGCAAGTATTTTATTTTCTACACCTACACCTTCTCAGTTATCTAAAATCATCCTAGAGGATATATCGTTCTAGAGAAGTATATGCCCATTTCAAACACTATTTTTCCAATTGTGACAGATTTTTATGAAATCAACAGACTTTTGCTTTTAATTTCCAACAGATCAAACCAAAATTCACTTTATGAATCACTTGGAAGCATGAGTGATTGCATGCGATTCCTCCAGTGTCACTGACGGGCTCCAGACCTTTTCCTAAAGGACCGAGACAGTGCTCAGCCTAGCAGTTCTGGTTCCGGGCTGCCCAACGAATATGTGCACTCCCATACAGAGAGGGTTTTGCTTCTGTTTCAGTTACAGAAATGTTTTTGCTTCCTTCCATGTTCTCAGCTTGGTTCCAAATGGATGAGCTTGCTCCAGGTTAAGTCCCTGGGAGTTGAGGTGTTACTGTGTTTGTAAGGAAGGAAGATAAAGTTGAAGACAGTAAAACACAGTGAGGCCAAAATACCTCATTTCCTGTGTCTCTGGCTAAATCGCTTAATTTTCAGATACCTTTACAGGGTTTCCCCATCTGTAAAAGTAGATTATTAATATGCCTCCTCATTGTGTAATTATGAGGATTAAATTAGTTCAGACATGTAAAGCACTTAACACATGCCTAATTACCACATTTGGCCATGTATAATGCTCTCCCATGTATAATGCACACCCATATTTTTGTGCGCGTTATACACGGGATTATTATACCCATTATTATACCCATGTTACGTAATCATTATACCCATGTATACGGCACAACCTTATTTTTCCCTTAAAAATTTGGGCAAAAGGTGCATGTCATACACAGCAAAATTAAGTACTTAGTCGGTGCTTGATAAACACAGTCACTATTATTATATTTTGTAACCATTGGTAGTTATTTTAATCATGTTCAATGTGCAGTACAAAGTTATTAATACTAACCATAGGCTGTTATCACAATCAATTATCAATATCCATGAGTGACTTTAACAGGATAGATTCAAAGTTATAATACATCTACAGCAAATGTCATCCTCACTGACATTCCATTAGGTTTTCTTAGGCGAGTGACTACGAGGAAGAGCATTGCCTCTGTTCCATCAGAAATCACCTCTCCCACCACCTGTCTCACTTCCGTCATAAAACCCAGGCAAACCCATGGGAATGAATCAAAAATTTAAAAAAAAATTAGTAACTGTTGGGTCGATATACTAGAAATAAAACATTCTGTCTTTTTATAAAAGTTTCTGGATGACATTAGAGAAGTTACAAAGATATAGGAATTGTATGAGCCAAATGGCCCTGGCTCCAGATTCTGCATCTAAATCTCTCTCTTCCCCACAGAACATCCAACAAAGATTTTTATCAAACCCCTTGAGGAAATATACAATGTAAATCTAAAACATTACCTCCTTATATCTATCATGTCTTCTTTTATCAAATTTATTTAAATAGCTAGCAATATAACACACAGATCCCACAAATACTTTATGATCAATTTAGTATACATTTTTCTCCTAATTACACTAAATAAAAGCATGTTCCAAAGGTTATAAATCAGGAACCCGACAAAATCCTTACAATGTGTTCTGAAGTTAGAAAATACTTGCCCGCTTGTCATGTTATGGAATGTTTGAAAACAACCATAAATAACTCAACAAGGCCCTCCGAAGTGTAATTAGTCCAGCTTAACTGCTCTTGTGTCGCAAGTTCACAGACTAAAGCACCTGGCGCATCTGCCACTGCACGTGGGAGTCTGGGGGCCCCTTCGACCCCTGCCATCCCTGCCCAGTTGAACTGCACTGATCACTCCACGGAGGAGCCAGCAGGATAGTTAACAAAACAACTGCAAATAATTTATGGATTTCATTTTTAAAACACAGAACCGAATGAAATATTCCCCCAGATGATCTGGCGCCAGCGAATACACTGCCCCGACACCCACGTTCTGAGCCTCCTAGAGAGAGTGAGCTCTGTGTTCAAATCTCTGCTCAAGGGTGAGTGGGACCAGGAACTACTTCTGTTTCTACATGTGCAGGTAATAGTCATTTGGGATTCGACTTTTCTTTCACAAATATAACTACCTGGCCCTATGCAGCAGGTCAGAATCTACAGGAGATCGTAGCCAGGTGGTAAAAATAAACTCAAACGTGGCAGAGTTATTTTGACCAAGATGGAATCTGATTTGTTCCCTACATGATTAATTTGATCAGTGTTTCTTTTTTAAAAAATGGTGAATTTATTTACAAAAACAGGTCCATAATCTCTTATCTGCAATCCTAAAATTGAGAAAGTTCTAAAAACCAAATCTTTCTTTCCTAAGGTTGGTTCTAAAACACATGTGGTGGCGAAATCGAACCTGAACCCCCCACGAGGCCACGCACGGTCTCTGCCCACCCCCCTCAGTGTGAGTGTTCACGCATCCCACTGCGGAGCTGCCGATGCGCTTGATGACGGCATCACCCCGGCGCATCCTACGGAAGTCATATCATATACATTATAAGCACTACACCAAAACATCTGAGCATTCCTGATTCCAAAATAAATCTGGTCTCAAGAGTTTCAAAGAAGAAATTGTGGATCTCCACAAAACTAACCACAGCAGATATCAGACCAAGATTTTGCCGATCCCTTACCAAATTCACAACTTCCATGTGTACATCTCACCTGCATCGTGACACCCTCTACTGCTCGTCTTTAGATAGTCTTTTGACCCACCGTTTTCTCTTTTAATAAATCCAATTTTCAGAGAAACTCCTATCCCCACTATAAACACAAAGCCAGCATCCCCTACAACATACAGATGGGAATTATACATATTAAAATGATAAAAACAAAACAAGGAAACTACCTTCTGACTAACTACAGTTGCCTATGAAAGCTCAGCATCTACAATGCTTGCTCTTCATTACGAAGGGCGATTATGAAGGATTCAGGAGATGTTGAAGATGCAGCAGTGGCAAGCTGACCTTCTCCTTGAATTAGCAGGAAGCTCAAGAGAAAAGTGAAAGAGAAGTATCTCCTTTCATCGAAATGTAATTCGATGTCATTGAATGTTAAGCTGGGATACCGTCTCCAAGACTGATGGTCCCGGAAGAACTGACCTTACACTTTGGAAAACGTGCTTAGAAATGTCATCATCCTGTCCCTTAGGTGACGATTCCACTGAGACAGTAAGTCTTGTGGGGGTGGCAGGGCACATGACTCCACGTCAGTAAGAAGGGGAAATCCGTCTCCTCTCTAGACGCATCACCCACAACCCACCATGTGGATGCGCTGGGTTACTCATCGCAACTCTCTGTAAGATTGGCCCCAAAGTCCTCTTCATTACACTCCCTAGGGCAGCCATAGCTTCTACTTTCCAAGGGACACTCACTGAGAGATAATAAGGCCTGGAAGTGACCAGACACTGACGATCAGAAGATGAAAGACTTATAAGACCCCCACTCCTTTATTAAGTGTAACAATAACCACTGCCAATCACAGGCTTCAGACCAGCAGAATAAGATTTCTTGTGAAAAAGTCTTTAAAAGTACTTTCAAGTAAACATCAGCTACCTATAGTGTAGTGGCTAGTGGCTGTGCTGTTTCAGCCCATTACAAAGAAACAGTTACAATGCTTTTGTTTCTTAAGAAACCTGATCTTTTCAGGATTTTCAAGATATGGCTTTATTGCTTCCACATGTAACCACTTCAGAAGTAATTAAGTGAAAAATTATTGCCATAAAAAAGACCTTCGGATTCTTGTTTCAATGGGCCCGTAGAAATAATTTATAGTAAGAATTAGGTCTCTGTCTTAAATTAATGCTGTTTTTTGACTTGGGATAGGGAACACACAATGAAATGTACAGATGATGTTTATAAAATTGTATAACTGAAACCTATACAGTTCTATTAATCAATGTCACCCCAGTAAATTCAATAAAAAAATAAAAATAAATAAGTTAATGCTATTTTGTAAACAGTTAACTCCCATCCAAAATAGCTGCAAATTTTAAATTAGTGAAGAGCATTGTGCTGGTTACGAGCATGGGTCCTGGGCTGCCAGGTTCAAGGCGCCGCTCCATCACCCAGTAGCTGCATGACCTTGGGCACCTTAGCTAACCCTCCTGTACCTCCATTTCCTATCTGTGAAATAGGGACAATACTAGGCCTATCTCTTAGTATTGCCTTAAGGATTAAATGCTTTCTATTTCAAGTGATTAGAACAAAATCGCACACAAGGTAAATGTTTGATATCACTGTGCATGTAAATGAGGTAATACAGTTTCAATACTTTATGTAGTTTTAATTCTTAAAAAAATGACTTCAACCATGGTTATAACTTTACATGTTTAAAATCAACCCAAGGGAACTGCAATTCACAAAGTGTTCCTTTTGCTACACAAAGACTTAAAAATGTTGTAACTCTTTTATTTCTGGCTTGGCTCGTGCTAAGAAAAGTCCATCCTGAACGTGCCAACTGAAAACCAAAGTCAAACTGCTCATGGAGAGCCACGTGCAAGGACTCCAGGGTGGGCTCTCAAGAAACAGGAGATATTCTAACAGGGGGACACACAAAGTACGAAGTCAAACCACCAATGACTGCATTTCTCGAGCATAAGGGGAGGGTTTCAGAAACGACTGCACTCGAACATGACGAAGTGGACTCGGGCCAGACTCTCGCTCAGAGCACCCAGAGGACAAACAGTAACTCCGAGGGGATCCCCAGCTCACCCCTCTCCCATTATTCTTGACGCTTTGTAATGGGATCGGTGGGATTCTACAAGGACTTCCCAAAGCAGCATTTTCCATTAGCACTTGCTCGCTGTACTAGAGGCTCCAGTTAGATGTCACA